ACATTGGAGAATAAGGTGACTGAAAGTATCAACACACGTTAAACTTTGCTAACTTCCTTAGTAAGTTTAACATAAAACTGAACACGACATGAAAATCTTTGATCAGAAAAGAACAGATATGAGGTTAAAGGCTTCAAAATTACATCAGCAAATTATTCAATTGAATATAATCATGGCTTAAGTGAATACAGTTTAGCTGGTAATTGGGAGTTCAATCCCTGGGTCAACCAGTGAAATCTATACACTTTTGTTCAGTGGAATGAATTAAATTAACTATCATGACAAGTAGAATGAAAACAACCTATACTATTGGATTAAATAAATGGTTCGAACTGAAAGGGTATTACTGAATACTAAAGGCACAATGGTGAAAATGTAAAAATAACCAATAGGAAGATAACAGTTCAAATCAGCTAGTGTATAATGATAAAGGATGAAATCTATTGTGAAAATAGGCAATCTACTACTTTTATGATAAATTTATATATGCCATAAAAATAATTTTATTTACTTTTAATAATACAATGAAGGAAGAAAGGCTGAAAGATTCAAAACTTAGTAACAATTACAATTTTTAGATGTATAATAGATTAAAAAGGAAAAAACTCAAAGTAACCTTGATGTAAATAAACATTGAAATATTAAAAACTGACAAGTAGCTGTTTAAAAATTACTTATTTAAATTTGGTTAATTACAACATCTATATTCTGTACATTCCAATAGATACAGTTATTTATAAAGAAACTGATAAAGAAAACTGTCAGTCACTTCCCATATAGTGAATTTCTGTTGATTATGTGCTTGTCTTGTCAAAGTGGTAAGTCTTTTACTCTAACAAAATAAATGAATTGTTACATATAAATAAAGGTTTAACATTTCTGAAACATTGGGACATTCATTCATCATTCTTTGAACCTCCATTATAGACAAAAAATGTAAACAACAAAATTAAAAATCTAACATGTGTCCTAGAGATTTCTTTCAAAGTAAATTTAAGGATTAATTAATTGGATTTTTATAAAGGTAATCCTTACGTTTTGCTTAAAACATAATAAAAATAATGTTTATTTGCACACAGTAGCCTGTGATGCCACAGGTCAACAATGATAGTTTTCTGTTGTTATCCCTGATGCATAAAATAAGCTAAAAATAAAAAAATAAATGAAAGAAATACCAAACACTGGCAGTTCAAAAGTCAAGAAATTGGTATTTATGTTTAAAATTAAATTATTTAACTTTATATAGCCAATAGTTTAAGGATATAATTTTTATTCCATACACTTGCTTTTATGAAACTTTTATAAACTGAAGAATTTGATTTTTTTTATACAACATTCAAAGAAATTAATTTTTAAAAACTAGTGAAATGATAATTCTGAGTCTCTAATTTATTGCTTTTTTTTAATTATTTTCTTACCTGTTTGATGCCATAAAATATTTATTTGCATCCAGTGAGTTTTTTTTTTAATTAAATATCATTTTGTTTTTTAATTATTCAGAATAATTTATAGAATTATACTCTTCCGATAGGTGTGTAGTCAGTCAAAATAGGTAATTCAGAATTATTTCCTTTTTGAACTTCCATACAAAAAAATAATCAACTGGAAAAATGAATAAAAAAACATTTTTTTTTAAGGTTCACACTCGAAAATGGCATTTATTTGACTTTACATTTTTCGATTTAAATCAATGTCTTTGCTTTTTTATTTAATAATAAAAAAAGACCTCTCGTTACGAACAGCAATGGATTGAATTTAAGCATCGCATTGAAAAATTACTTCTTAGAAGTATTTTTTTAGTATTTATTTTTTTAAGTGTAATTTTACTCCTGTCCAAATTGAAAGAAAATAATGCGTATGCCGATGCGTGTTATTAATTAAATAAGCTAAAGCATCAACTCTGAAAAAGAAAATTTAAAAAAAAAGATTTTTTCAATTTATATTTTTTTAATTATTTTTGCTTGTTAAGGCTCGGGACGAGTTTTCTTTCAGTATGTTCACACGAATATTGAATATTTCTTCTTTTTTTTTTAAAGTGAAATAACATCTTCAGAGATTTTTTTCTAAATGTATTGTAAAGTAAAAAGACAATTTTCACGACTACCCCCTCCCCAAATTAAAAGTACACACGAGATATCGAAAAGTGGGTAGCGATTTTTTCTTGGGAAAACGCATCCATTTTTTTGGCGGTACCTAAATTTCTGAGAAACATGGTAATAATTATTTGGATCTTTTTTTTTTTCTTTCAGCTTAAACGGAAAAATAAAATGAGAGGAAAACAAACCAAGATTTAAAAGAACAGAAGCATAAAATACCCCTTTTATTTATTTAGTCACATAGTGAAAACAAAATAAGCATTATTTTCATTTGTACACCGTGGGTGTTTAATTTGGCTGGCCTTCATGAGATGAGAGAAAAAAAATTATTTGCAAAATTACACCACAAAGAGACCAGGCGATCTAAATTTTTATTTTAAAAGAGTTTCAGTTATTTATTAATCAGAAACCAAAAAAAAATTTAAAAATGTTAATTTTCAATATAGACAAAACTGCATAAAGAATCATCGTTGGTTTGATTGCATTTCGAGAAAATAAAAAATAAAAATCAACTAATGTACTTCTTTAGAACGCTGACCGGAATTTAGAAAGAAAAGTTGTTTTCAGTTGTTTTTTCTTCGGATACTAAATAGTATACTTAATTACCTCCCTTAGATTGCTTTACTTAGCCTCATATTTTGAGCACATATTTTAAAAATTCAACTAGTGACCAATTACACTTACAATTAAAAACAAATATTAGAAAAAAAAAAAAAGAAAATAAAAGCCTAACCTTCTTCCTTTCAAATTGAAAAGTCTAGATTCTAATTAAAGAAATAGCGTTTGAAATGCTTTTTAATTTAAAAACTAAAATCTCGTGAAAAAAAAAATTGTGTATAAAAAAATGAATTTTCCAAAATCTGGTCACGTCTCGTCTCCAAGTTCTAAAATGTGTGTTCAGAATATAATGTTAGTTAACTTAAAAAGTAGTTAGCGTTACTAACCAAAGTAATTCAGAATCAATTTGGTATGCAAAAACGAAGAAAAAAAACACGTTACGGTTGCAAAGATTTTCTTTATGAAAAAAAAAAAAAAATCAAACTATCAGATAATTTTTAATTTCTGAATGACAAGAATGCCAGTGAGTAGAGAAAAAGAAAATGTAATTGTGACTCAGTCTTCCGTTGCAGTCAAAGCTATTGATTCATTGATAATTAATTTTTCAGTTTATTATGGGACAATGACAACCATCACCAAAGAGAACGGGACGTGATTCACCAGGTGACTGTTGAGAGAAAAATACAAACAAAAAAACAAATCAACTCAAAAACTCACAGGAATGTGAGTAACATTAAAGGCGTAGAGAGGCATTCTTCTTCTTCTTCATTAATGTTATTGTTATCTCTCGAAAGTTGTAGGGTTTTACTACGAAATGTCACAATCAAACAAGGAAAATATCGACATGATCATTCATTTTCATCATATGCTGATTTTTGGATGACTCAGAATCTTAAAAAAATAAAAAGGTTTTACATTTGGTCGGGTATGAGGGGGATGAATAGTTGAGTTGGAAGAGAAAAAATAATGAATAAAAATCGTTAAATTATTTTAAATATTTATTTAATTTAAATAATCAGAAAATGTTAAAAAAAAAAAAAAAGAAGTAACAAGTGTGGAAATAAAACTTAATTATTTTCGTGAACTCCCAACAATAATGAATATGTAAAAGAAAAAAACCGAAAAATTTAAAGTTATGTCATCATTGTTAAGATTATCTTTTTAATTTAAAAATAAAAAAAAAACAAACTATGAATATAAAAAATAAAAATTGACACTTTCATAATTTCCGATGAAAAAATAAGAATTTTTATTAATGTTAACTAACATTTCTTTAGGGACAATTTTTTAGTACTCAATTTATTTTTAGATTTCAAGAAATAAAAATGCTACCTACCCCAGCACTATAAATAAAATAAATGCAGATTGTAAGAACGGCGTGTCACTTGATTTCACTGATCAGCTGATGAGGATTTAAGTGATTTTTAAGTAGCTTGGAGCGAAAAAAACAGCCAGCAAAATGGATTACAAGAATGTTTTTTTAACAAGAAGCCGGTTAATCCGATAAAGTATGTTTGAGAGTGGATAGTGTAATAATTTGTAAGTATTAAATTAAGTATACACACGCACTTCCACGTTTTTCGTTGAAGAAGAGAAGGATTGAAAAAAAAATAAATAAAATAAAACGTGATCAGATTTCCGAAATAAACACGGAAGCTAAACTAAGAAAAAAATCTTTCCAAAAACTGAGTTTACTCGTATACATTGGAATTGGAAATGTCGAAAAACATATCCAGAATCTACATTATAATTTTTTAAATTGATGATTAATACCAATTATTCAAAGTGTGGTCATTATAAAAATTTGAAAATTAACACTGGACATGATTGAAAAATTCTTGGAAATCTCAAAAAATATTTTATTTCAAGACGTTTTCCTTTTTATCGGAAAAGTTATAGAAGTTGGATTATGCTTGGAGAAAAAAAAATGAACATCCGAAAACATTGGAATTACATGAATTTCACTCGTTGTAAAGATTTAAAAAGATTATAAAAAGGCGTGTAAACAAAAAAGAAAAACAGATAAACAAAAAAAAACATTTCCTGTTCATTTATTTTAAAATTTTAATTTCTAATTTTGTCAACTGTTTTTCTGGAAAATTATGACACCAATTTTTGAAAATTTTCATTTTTTTTCATTTAAATGCGGACATTAAAAATAATGTAAAATTTGAAATAATAAATTTCATTAAATTACAAACGTGATCAATACTATTTTTCATAATGGAAAATGTGGACTTAATGAACTCACGTTTTTTTCCACAAAAAGCCAAAAGTAAAAAAAAAAATAAAGAAAGGCGATGACGTGGGGGGCGGGGGTTCTGAAAATAATAACGGGAAAAATACCTTTAAAAAGTGAAGTCGTTATGTCCCTTTACTTCAGTCAGTATATTCTCTTGTTGTAATTTAGCTAATCCGAAAGTAAATAATGATAATTTTAATACTTTCAACTGTTGGGACAGTGACAATCTAGTTGACTTGTCAGGTTTGTTATCAACAACTGCTGACATTCCGATTGCATGCAACCCGGAAGTAGACGACTGACAGCACTACATAACGGAAGTGACGTCAATGCGTCGCCCTCGATTTCATTTAAGTCTGGCATAAGAATAACTGAAACGAAAATGTATGGGAACTGGAAATTTTTTACATAATCTGCTTAGAAAAGAAGGTGTGCCAGCCAAGATTTTTCTTTCGTTAGATCGACGATAGAAACCTGAAGATTTATTTAAAAAACTAAAGTTGATATCTAACTTACTATGTTGACATAACATATCTTCTTAAGTAGCAATAACATTATGTTATTGTTAATTTTTGCGTATGAAGGTGAATGAAAAACTACCATTTCCCTACCCACAAGCAATAAAAAAAACTTTTGCTCCCAGATTCAATCTTGAAGGGGTCCAATATTTGCATTTTGTGTGTATGCGTATTTACTATCGATTTGATTAATGAATTATCAATTAATTTTAGTAATTTATCGCTGGAGAGTATCTGTATGCGTGCGTATATATATAAACACGCGTAGACATTGTTTTTAATTGCGAAGTGAAGAGAAAGGAAACGTCTTGTAACAGACTGTAACTTCCGCCCGGTTAGGAATATTCTTTTTAATCATATTATTTTTAAAAATATATAAATCCTTTTCTCTTTCCTGTCATTATACCTTTAAATAAAAAAATGAAGGCTCGTAAAGACTATTGCATTTATTTCTTTTGTAAATATAAATCTTTAATCGAAAGAGATTCAGAGAAATTTCAGCGCAACTATTGTGATACCGGACCAGACCGGAAGTTTGATTGTCATGAACTTGTTTGCGAAAACAAATATTATCTCTACTTTTGAGATTGCCGTGTGACTTATTTGAAAATGTTCAGACAATTCTTTCGGTCCTCTTTCACCCGATGGAAATTAACGAGGCGCTCTCCTTCAGGTCTTTGTCCAGTAATTTCAGACAAGTATTCTCTGTCTAGAGATTTTTATTTTACGTCTTCTTTTTCATTGTACATATAAATTCTATTTTTAGATAATCCATTATTGGCATTGTATTTTTAATTTTTGTTTTGCAAAGTAAAACTTGTCCCATCTTGTCTTTTAGGGAGACTAATTTCGGAATATTCTCTAAGTTTGCATTTCAAAATCTTTATGGTGCTATCCTAAAAGTTTTTTTTTTATATAAGAGTCATAGTTTTTTTTGTTTTTTTAATAAGACAAAAAACTTTTAAGTTCAAATTCTGGAAGTTTTTCAAAATAATTTTTTATTTTTTAAAATTTGACATTGCAGTCGTAAATGAAATCCTGATTGTGAATGTATTGTAAAAGTTAGTAAAACAATTTTTGATTAAAAAACTGTTTCGTTAAGTAACTTAACAAAACAGTTTTTAATTTTTTTTTAATAGACGAGCTCAAGTTGGAAGAATCTTCTTCAGCAAGTTTTTAAAAAATAATAATTATATTTTTTAAATCGGAATCACACCAAGCAAGGCAGTAACCATTTAAAATACAAGGGGTGTGGAAGAGGAACAGAAACATTAATCAGCAGAAAGAGAAGAGAGTACAAGTGGACATAAACAGAATTTTAGTTTTTAAAATTTTTATCATGATCGAATCTCACATTGTAAAAAAAAAAAGCGCAAGCTTTCTAATTGAAATGTATATGCGAAAACCAAAGATCGAGAAAGTAGTAATTGTTTCAATTATTCTTTCTTGTGTTGTTTCACTTTGAAATCCAGAATTCTAATTCATGATGAGATTTCTTCATTTATAACAAAATTTAAGTAACGAACGTTCTGTATTTTTTTTATTTAATTTCAAAAATTTACATAACTTGTGATTCGTTGTGGTCTAACCGGGGCTGAACGGCTGGAGATCGGTTTACCAGACGAACAACACCTTTGCAGTGAAGATATATCATTTTTTTTTTTTTTTTTTTGGCACTACTTAAACATAGTCGTTTAATCATAAGAGATATGGAACATTTTTTTATGAAAAATAATTTTTGTAGATTAGCATTTAAACATTCCTTAGATCGCGACACATGTCAAAATCGAAAAACGTTGAATTGTAAATCGAATTAGAAAGGGAGTCCTGCTTTAACATAGATTGATTATTGTCAAATCGATCCATGACTTTTACAGAGTCGCTGGCCTTTTCACTTAGCTGTTATTTGCAAATGTTAAGTTTGAAAATGTAAAATATTTGATATCAGCTGCATATTTTTAAAAATTTCTGAATTTATATCTGTCTATATTTGATATATGTCTGAGATGAGGTATTATGATTACTTGCATTATTTATTCGGACTGTTATCCTCATTGCCATATTATTCACAACGTTTCGACCTTCTTCAGGTGTTGGAATTTCGAAACGAACCCTTTATTTCGTCCACCGAGGTAGATTGTTCTAATTACACGTGCCATGCCTCTTCCAGATGTCTCAGATTACCCTTTAACTCAACTCTCCAAGTTTTGGTCCACCACTGTGGCCTGGTATTGAACTCACAATTATTTGGGTTTAGTCACTGGATCTAACCAACGTCTTTATCCACTGGGCCATGTGTCCTTCAGGATATCTCTGTATGAATTTTTGGAACTTACTGGAAAATATGCAAACTTAAGGAATCGGCACATATGCTAGGGCACAAAAATCTCCTGAGCCAACCAAGCATAGAAATGTATACAATATGGGAACATAAGGAGTGCTAGAGAAAAGCAATGAATAACAACAAAAATTGCAATATAAGCTCTGGTAAAAAAAGAAAAGAAAATGAAATAATAATAACAGAAAAATTGCAATATGAACACTGGTAAAAAATGATTTCTGAGACATTAAGTTTATAAATCCCCAAAATTCATACATTCTGTTCATTTAAGAAAAATCTGTTTGTAAGCCCACCTCAAAAATGTTTGTTTTCGTACACAAAATTGTTAAAGCAAATAACTACATGGTTATTGCATGGGCTGCATATAGTTTTGAATTGAGAATTGTCCGACTGGTTTCTAACCATAGCTAGAGATTCTAGTCTGCCTTGCCATTTACCTTATAGCTGAGGGCAGGGATTAAGAAGATTTTATCTTTCCTGTGGTTATATATGTAAAAATGAATGTAGTTAACTTGGCCAGAATTCAGCATGGTTCGTTGATTTCTCTTTCTGAGCCACTAACTGTTACACTACCTGCCTTGTCCATTGATGTCTGACTGATAATAAACCTGATTCTACTTCAGTAACATTTGATATGTAAGATATAAATCTGTATTCACCTATTGGGTTTACATAAAAGAATTTGGCCTGAACTAATGTTATCTAACTGCAAAAGTATAATAGTATCTATTTTTAATTTTGTTTTTTTGTTGCTCTAATTAATTCTTGTCTCTTTACTCCCCCTTCTTTATTTTTGTGCTCATCCTTCTACTATCCATTCATTCAAACTTGGCAAATAGATTATTCAGTTTCCTCCTGCTTTCCATAACTTCAATATGCTCTTTGAGTGCTAAATTCTCTAAGCCTATTTTTTTCATTAGCCTTACAGAAATTTCATTTCTCACTTTCTGATTGTTAGCAACAGTTGTCTTGCAGTTCTTATTTTCCTTAAAACCTCCTCATTAGTCTGTCCACAGCATTTTCTACATTCATTGGAAAGAAATAGCTCTGTCGGTACAAGTTTCTTCATCTGCCATATCAGAGATTAGATATTACATAGCAGTTCAGTACTCTTCTTCCTTTCTAAGGACAGTCTCCTCTCCCTTAATACTTTACTTAGTTTCTATTGCTACGCATCTTTAGATTTCTGTATCACATTTTCCATTGTCTGTTACTACACTATCCAGATAGTTCAATTTCTGCCCCTGCTTGATTTTAACATGCCCAATACATAACTCACTGTGAGCCATCTCTTTTACTGACAACCATGTTTTCCATCTTTGTACAGTTAATGATCAGTCCTTTCTTCTTGCTTTCCTCACTACCTTGTCTAAGAGATTTTTAATTTTCTTTCTGAGTACACCTTCAGTATAGTATTATCTGTATATTTTATTTTGTTAGGGTCATGTTTGCTGACAACAATTCTAAGTGGGTCCTACTTCTCTTAGAATAATCTTGCTGTACAGGTTGAATAAATCCTTTAAGGAAATACATCCTTGTCATAAACTCTTTCTATTTTTGTGTATTCACTAAACTTATTATGTTTTCATGCAAACTGCTGTTGGTTCTTAGTAGAAGTTCCCATATAAATCAATCTTTTCTAATATTTTAAGCAGCTGTGTGTGTCATGCTTGATCAAACATATTTGCATAACCAATGCAGCATAAATATAGATCTCTCTGTATTCATATTGCTTGTTCTGATAACATTCTGATCATGAGAATATCGTGTTTCTTGTTCCAGTGCCTGGAACAAAGCCACACTGTTATTGCCCTATTTTTGGTCCGATTCTGCTGCAAGCTCCATTAGTTAGAATTCTGATCATTAGTCATGTGGCTTATGAAGTTGATTTGCATCTGGTTTCTTTGTCAGTGCTATGAAGATAGATCTGCTGATATCCTTTGGTATTTTGATGCTATCATTTATTTCATATATCATTTCAATAATAACAGTCCTGAAAATCATCTAACAGTCCTGAAATCATCTAAGGCTGTCAGTACCTTTACCACAATTTCATCTGATCTTGCAGCTTTGCTGCTCTTCATCTTGTTCAGTGCTGAACTAACCTCATATTTTAATTCTCCAGGTCCCTCAGTAATTTCTGTCTGAATTTCTGGGATGAGGAGTTAATTTACACTGCTGACTATTGTCCTCATTTTTGTTGATCAACAAAGATGAAAACAATAGAAATTCAAATAGAAATTATCTAATCAGTATGACAAGCCCAATGTAATACACCAATTCTAACAACAGCAAAGATGAGGACAATAGTCGACATGTAAATAATGTAAGGTCCTTTGATGTTTTTTTATTCATTCTGGAATTTTCTCTTTTTTTATTATGGGAAAACTCTCCAACATATTCATTTCATCTCTGTAATACCTTTTCTTTTGCCATTATGTCTGTTCCCTTTTTAGATGTTATGCTGTAGAGTACATTTTCTCTCCTGCTACTTTTTTCATTTTATGCAGGTCTACACACTTTCTATCTTTACACACTTCTCATTGAGTCATTTATCTTTTGGTTGCTTGCATTTATTTTTAATAACATATATTGTCTCAAGAATTTCATCTGTCATTCACTTTTTTTAACATGTGTGTCTGTGTCTCTATTCTCTTGGGATGCCCTCTTTTGCTGTCATCGCTATTGTTTCTCTTATGGTGTTCCACTTTGAGTTCATGACTTGCTCTTCTTAGCTATGACTGCATATATTTGTTTGCAAATTGTTTGATTCTGGAGTTTGTTATATTGTAGCTTAGGAATTTTTCCTTTTATCATTAGTTTGTATATGAATTGAAGGTGATTGTTCTTGTAGTCAGAGCTTGAGTATGTTTTTAAGTCCTTTTTAAAATATATTCAGGGAGTTAAAAGAAAATTGTATTATTTAAAAGCTCCACAAGTAGAACTGGAATAGAAGTGTGATGATTTTTGTGGCGAAATTTGTGACAATGTTCTCTGCTCGTTTGTCATTCACTTCACCTGTGATGACATCCAAGATTGCTTGTATCTGCATATACACCCAACTCGCTATGTTCACAGGTTTGTCTTCTTGGCTGTGATCGCATTCAACAAAAAAATAATAATTACAATTGTTTTTAAAGACACTGGTTGGCAGTTACTAGCAATACAATTTCTCACTTAACCATGGGATCCTTCCTTCAGCTTTGAGAAGTGGACTACTATCTTACTAACTTCCAGCCATGGAAAAGTAGCCTTACATTCATTGCCTGTGGCTTAGGTCACTGCTGTTTCTTCACTCCTGGCTGCTAGGCAGCTACTGACTCACTGGTCACCTACCTACTTCTTCCACTGCTGGACCCCTTTCTCCTTGACTTCCTGCTTTTCTCTACTTATATGGATAATGTCTGGGGTCCCACCTTCCTATCCATCCACTTGTATTCTGAAACGTTTCAGACCACCCAAAAACCAGAATGGGTGGTCGACTTATTTTTATTTTTATGATTATCTAAAATCATTAAGAATTTTTATGATTATCTAAAATCATTAAGAATCTTTTATATTTGCTAATTCAAAAGCAGACTGGATACAGAATTCCCAAAGACACTGACACTTAAGTTGACTCAAAGATGGACTGGAGATGAAATTCCTATGAAACTCAGATAACTAAGTGAACTTAAAAGAAAAGAAATTTATCTATTTCTCTTAAAGATGTGTGAGAAATTGTATTGTTACAGAAGTAAAGGTTTATCCAAGTTAGCATTAAACAAGATAAAAATATGTAGAAAGATAAAAATAAGATAAAAATTATATACTGGAGAATAGATTCACCTGAGAAAGGCTAGATAAATGAATAAATAAATCTCAATAATATTAATTATCATTTCAGATAAATACAGAATTTATTTTAATGGCATAAGCAATTTTCAGAGGAGACTTTGGTGCAATGACCAATCTAGAATATATAGTCTGTTACTGCAAAAACATATAAACTAAGCCATGCCTATACACTGTCAATTATTGTTGTTTTATAGGAATTTTGAAGAATTGATAACACAGCCAGTGTTTAGTATTATTTCAATGTTTATAAAAAAAATGAGTCTAAGAGAGTTTTTGATTATGAAACTGGTTTTCTGTTTTTGCTTAGATGTAGCATTTTCTACCAGAATTATGGTTTGTTTTGTTATAAGAGAAAACGAGTAATTTAGACTAAATTTAGTTTATTTTGGTACAAGGCTAAATGATTATTACACAGTCAACCAAATCAGAATCTACCTACTTTAAAAATCAATATTTAAATTTCTGTTTTTATCAAGGCTTAACTATTAACTATTGATGGCGATTAGAAATATGTGACCAAAAGAGGTTTAATTCAGACAATGACTTACGATATTTCCTAGCATTGAAAATGCCATTTTTCACAAAATAATTTCCACAAATCAGCATCAAAGGTAATCTTAATTTTATGTTTAATCCTTTTTTTCCATTCTTGAAGCCAGAGTATCTTCAGTGCTAGGAAATAGAGAGAGCAACCAATTTACCAATAAAACAAATCAGTTATGTGTTAGCTTATTTTCTTTTTAATTTCTAAATTCCTTTGTATTGAAGCATTCTTGAAATAATTTTGCTTTGTTAATGGTTTTGTTTATATAATAAAAATATATATATTTAAAAACTGGCAATAATGCTTGGAAATCTCAAAAGTCATTTACAGTAGCCCCCCCCTTATCTTTGAGTTGTTACTTGTATTTAATGCCAGAAATAAACAATTCGTAAATTTTCCTTTTTTTTACTGAAAGAGTATTAATGTTGGCAATCTGAATATGCCAAGGAGAATTGATAAAGTGGTTTAAGTGAAAAAGGGAAAGTCCTTGATTTAATAAAGAAAAATTCAATTTATTGTGGTTGTAATAAAAAATCTTCTGTCACATAATTTTTTTTACAGTTATGATTGTTCTATTTAAATATTTGATGTTGCTAATTGTGTCTAATTTATAAATTAAATTTATATATATATATATCTCAAATATGTTGTGCAGTTCAATTTATATTACAATGAATCATTCATACAAAAGTAAATTAGTAAAGTTAATGATATAAAATGGCAAAATCCCTTCACTAACTAAATTTTAAAGATGCATTAACCTACTAATCACTCCATGAATGTTATGATCCTTGTTTTTTTTAAACTGTATTGGGTCTTCCTTGAATACTCAAGTACTTTCAACTGTACGTACAGTCATCATCAGGCATAGAAATTATTTTGTTTTTGTAAAATTCAGGTAGCATACAAGATGAAAAAATATAATGCAAATCAAAATGTTTTTTTTTAAATGTGTTATTGATAACAGATACAAGCTTTTTTAAAAATTTAAGTGAGTGTGTTTTTTATTAATATGGCAATTTGAGAATTTGAAATTTGAATTTGAAATTCTCAAATTGCCATATTAGTAAAAAAATGCACTCACTTAAATTTTCAAAAAATTCAACCTTAGCATTGCAACTACATGCTCCACAAGTTTGTATCTGTTATCAATAACACATTTAAAAAAAAACATATTCCCTGCCACATATGATCTTCAAAAATTCTGTCTACCTTTTCTTTTATTGTCCTTTATCCTGATTAATGTCTTCTCATTTTTGTTTCATTCTCAGTAACCACTTACATTTTAGTGGTATTATCAACTTGCTTCGAGTGAAGTAATTAAAAAAAAAAAAAATAAATAAATGTGCTTTTCTAGATGTTGGGAGCCACCTCATTTTCAAGTATGACCTTCATAAGATATCATTGTAAGACTTTGTTGGGTTTTTAATGGACAGGGACAAACTTTTAAAGCCTATGACTCAAAGCTGACAGACATGAGACACATACATTTTGTTGTCAGTAGGTTTATTTTTGTAACTGTTTGAATGTCCATTCACCCAAGAAGCTGACATTGCTATCTTTTTCACAGTATGACATGAATTCTTAGTACATAATGCAATTTTGTAGTTGATCCATGTTCTGGTATGATAGCTTCACATATGACTTAATTTTCCTGCTTTATTGAATCAAATTCTGCCATAAATGTTGCATGCACAGACACACATATATTTTGGGGAAAGAAGTATAACAAAGTATAAAATGTTTTTGTGCGACACATTTTGTCCTTTAGGATGTCATCAGATCATATATATATATATATATATATATATATATATAAAGAAATATAGTCTTAAGGTGTGCTATATTTATGGGATAAAGTGCTCAATATCAGAGATAGAGCGTGTGTAAATATATAAAAGTGAACATAGAAGTCAACACTTAGAGGACAGTCTGTTTCATGCTATATGCAATCGTCAGGCCACATGTGGCCTGACAGTCAATTTCATGCTATATATTTATATAGTATGCATTTATTTATATATTTATTTGTAGCCTGACGATTGCATATATTTATATATTTATTTATTTATATATATGCATTTATATTTTATATATATATATATATATATATATATATATATATATATATATATATATATATATAGTAAAGGTAACTATTATGTTGGTACATTAGATCCTAGTAATATAAAATATTAAAACTGATCCACAAGAGCTCAATGCATTTATTGATACAGTGCAATATAATTAATAAACAATAAAATCCAAAATTACCTCATATGGAGTTGATAAGACAGCCGACCAGTATCTTTGTCTGACAAAATGGGCTATTCCTCATATGTAATTTTTATTTTATTTTTTATTTTATATGTTTATATATATATATATATATATATATATATATATATATTTGAACATTAGGATAGATATAAGATAGATTTGCTCTACCCTGTATTGAGCACTCTTTTAAGAATAGTATTTGTTGGTTATTGGAATTTATTCCATATACACCAATCCTATACTTGGGTGTGTATATATATATATATATATTTCACACACTCACAAAGATGTGCCAAAAAGAAAAGTCCTTGACCTGGCTAAGAAGCCCCCCCCCAAAAAAAAAATAAATAAATACAATCTACTGTTTGGTCAGATTTCGGAATATGAATCTGGCTGAGAACTTTTCAACAGCTTATATAAAGGTAGATAGTCTGATCTATTGTTATTAGCTTAATTTATATCTGAAATTTTAACTGTGTAATCTGTGGGATTAATATTCATCACTGAATTAAGTGCATTGCCAAGGAAGGAGATTTTTTTTTAAGAGATTTGTATAAAATAAATGCTTTTTCAATTGTTAGACTCCAGATCTATTGATATACATACATAATAGATATGTGACATTTGAATTATTGCAGGAATTGAGGTTTATCTGTCTCCAATCTCATGTCCATCTCTCTTAGTTCATGTATTTTAATCTATTGGAACATTAGTATAGATATATAAGATAGATTTAATTAGTCATTGTATGTATTTCCTCATTGCAACTATTTCATTCTTTTACAGGCTACCCATTTTTATGGCATTCTTGGCTTCATTCTTCATGCACAGATTATCAAGTTACAACAGTGGGGCTTCTAAGTCAGAAATGGACTATTCATTTCTCTTTGAATGGCATTTCAGAACCCCAGCAATCATCTGACCTCATCATAGCCAATGTTCTCAATCTACCAACAGTAAGTCATTTATATGTCATTTGTGTAGAAAGATTTATTTCTTAGGTTTTACTAAAAAAAAAAAAAAAAAAGCATGCTTACGTACATGAGAGCATTCAATATATTTTTTCAATAAGAAATAAAACCCGCTAACTTCACATGAGAAAGCCATATATATAATATATATATATATATATATATATATATATATATATATGTGTGTGTGTGTAAAGAAGTAATGGATTTTTTTAATATATTAATTTGATAGATTTTTATTATTTTAAACATTATTTTTAGTGTAGATGCATTGTTTATTTTAAACCGTATATTTATTTTCGTCTACTGACTGGCCTGAATATTCTACAAATCTTATGAAAGAAAAAGGAGGGGGCAGCATTTTTTTCCCTTCTTAAAATTTCTTAAATATTCACACAAAAATAAATATACTGTTTAAAATAAACGTAGTGTCTGCTCAAATATGGTATCCACTAAAAATGATGTGTGTGTGTGTGTATATATATATATATATATATATATATATATATATATATATATATATATATATAATGAAAAAACCCTTTGTTCTACATTCAACACCATCACTTGACATCATAAGTGTTGAAACAAAAATGGCTATTTTTGTAGTGATTTAATAACATATTTATGTTATAATTTTCAAACAAGTATTTATATACAAGAGCAAAAAATAGTATTGATTTTTCAAAACTTTTTCAGCTAACCAGATGAATATTTATGAGCATTCCTAAACTTAAAAATTTGAAACACATTGGCTAAGATAAGTTTTCCTTTTGTCTTATATATATATATATATATTTTCTGTTTATAAATTATTTTTATAGATACAGTTTATTTAAGTAAATGCTCTGTTTTTTAAATAAACATTATTAATTACATTTACTGACCTGAATGTTCAAGAAATTTTTAAGAAAATATGTGTTCTCCAGCAGGAATCAAACCTGTGACCTATACAGAACCATGAATTGATCTGATATGCTATACAACTTGGCTACAGAGAAGCATCTGGTTAGCAAAGTCTAAATTACTGTTTATAAACAACAAATCTTCAATGATCTTTCCTGAACAATCATATCTACTTACGAAATGTACCTTAACATAAACATTGACAACATATGAAATGGATTAAGTCTGACAATTATTTAATATATTTTCTGTTTATACATTATTTTAATAGATACAATTTATTAAGTAAATGCTCTTTTTTTTTTAATAAACAGTATTAATTACATTTACCAGCCAGACTGAGGAATTTTGTATTCTTTGACAAGAATCAAACCTGTGTCCTATATGGGACTCTCAACTGATCTGACATGCTATATCACTCAGCTACAGATATATATAGGGTACAATGGGTAAATTGTTGCTATTTTATATTTTTAATTTTGTGCATGCGTGTTGTTTTTCATTTTGTCGACTGCTCATTAAAGTAGAGTTAGTTGGGCACTGTCTGTGAGAAAAAGAGCACAACGATGCAATTCACTCCACCAGAAATTTAGAAAGACATGCTGGAAGCTCCAATACAAACATTTCAGAGTGTTTGGCTGTCAATCAGAGGACAGTACAGAGAATTTGGAAAGAGTTGGATGAGTCTAATGGTGATTAGGAAGGTGTTTGGAAAGATCACTAGTGATGTCACCATTATGCCTCTTTTCATCTTCTCACAGGGCCTCAGATTCAACATGGAGGTTTCCTCAAGTACCTTGAGGAGGTAATGCTGCCCTGAATCAAGTGGGTGGCTGCTAGAGGACCCTATATCTGGTAACAGGACTCTGCACCATGTCACACAAGCAAGAGAACCCAGTCATGACTGTCAGACAATATCTTCGGCCACACCACCCCTTACATTTGGCCACCTAACTCCCCAGACTGCCACTCCCTTGATTATTATGTGTGATGGTGTAGTTGATCAAGAGACCAACAAAACTCCTTGTAGCACCACAGATGAAGTGAAGGCAAGGATTTGGCAATATTCATCCACTTAAACAAGGAGACAATCCAGAAGAGTTGCAGGAGATTCCAAAGTCATCTGGAGGTCGTGGTTGAAGCCAATGGCAATTTTATTAAATAAATTTACTTTTTAGTATTTTAAGATATTTTTGTGTAATTTTAGCAAATATATCTGTTAAAATTAGATGTCAGTGTTATTTTCATTTTTGCATAATTTAGATAACAATTTATCCATCGCACCCTATATTTTTAAAAGCTGAAATTACTACTGAAGTTGCATCAGGAGGATACACAAGTGTTTTGTACCTAATGGCAAAACCAAAATATTATTTTCAATATGGTTTTGTCATACTGGTCAGCCAAGACTGCAGTTTTATATACATTAAATTCATAATCATTAGGCTGCCAATGTCAATCTTCTGGCCTCAGATATATTTATTCCCCTCAAGCTAACCCATGATGTACTATGGGTGGTCAACATAGACACACTGACCATAATCATCTACAGAAAAAGTACCCAATAGTAAGAGATAGTATCAAAATTTTTTATTCTTTTTTTTGCAGTGAGCCCTTTATAATATTTTAGTGTTATCTATTAAAATTTGGATATGAAAGCACCCTTAATTGACTTAAATTCTAATTTCAGCAATCTAAAAATGCCACAATTTAGTCAAAATACATCTTGCTTAATATACTGATTACTCACAATTTGTGACAATGAGTGTGACAGTCAAAAGTACTAAAAAAAAACAAACTTTGGCCAGTTTCTTTACAATTTTAATCCTGATTTAAAACTACTTAGTTGGAAATTAGAAAGACGATATAAAATGCTGAATAGACATCTGTTGTTAGTATCATTTAATAACACGTTTGTTAGTAAAAGCCCCAACATATGGCATGCATGTGGAGATTATAGAACATTTAACTCTGTTACGAAACCTGATAGGTAGTGCAATTTAGTCATTTTTATGTTGTCCTGATGATTGACATCGCTTTAGAAAAATTTTTCTCGATATATCAAGTTGGAATGTATATGTATATACCAATTTGTCAAAGGTTCTGTGAGATGTTTTTATGCCCTTCATAAATGAAAATAACTGCTCACAAACATATGTGGAACCAAACAACGCCATAATCTTTGTGGCAAACTTTCTGAAGTTCTTAAATGTCTGAGGAAGGTATGAGGTGTTGAGTCAGTCTGCATTTCCAGTAGTTCCATCTGTAGACTTTCTTCTGCCTGAGCAACATCAAAAATGAATGATGCTGAGAATAATGCAAACTGATCTTCACAAGATGAAAAATCACAAAATCTTTGCTGAAATTCCTTTGACAGCAATTCCAGGTAATTGTTGTACTTAGCAAAGATAAATACAGATTCAGTATTGGCACTTTTTTTCAACTCCTTGTACATAGGAAAATGAGTCAAGTTTTCATGTGACAACTGGGACTGAGAGATAATATAACACCTCCTAACGTAACATGTACCTAGAGGTGTCACCTGACTCTACTTTGACTCTGATGGCAGTGATCTTGCTGTCCTCATGGCTTTCTCTTATATCTCTCCAGTGGCGGGGGGTCACTGATGAACCATGGGGTCTCTTCTCCCCCATCGTCTAACACCAGACAATCTTTTTTTAACTTATGGGAATTTATCAACTGGATTTGGTATGCCCTGTCATCTACTCTTGGTTCCAACTTAACTGATTCAGGTTCTAGCTGCTTTGGAATTTTTGACAATAAATTCACACAAGTATTGTCTTTCCCTGCTAAATACTCAATCTTGCAATTGTACACACTTAATTTTAATGCCCACTACTGAATTTTTCTGTTAGTCCATTCAGCCTCTAGCAAGTATTGGAGAGATTTGTGGTCAGTCTTAATGATAAATATAGCTCCATTTAGGTAGTAGTCTAATTTCTACAAGGCATACATAATAGCATATGCCTCCTCAATCACTGGCGATCTCTGTTGCGCCTCAGAGAGCCTATGAGACAAAAACTATACCATTATCTCCTCAATAAGGAAACCAAAACTGTCCTACCTGTACTTCAATTGCCTTGGTCTGCCTAGTGAGTTGATATCTTAGCACTTTTGGAACCGAATAGCCAAATGACTAAAGTTCCTCGATTCTTACTACTGCATATATTTTCACAACTTGATCAGGTTGGGTTGTTGTCTTCTAAGTTACTATTTTTAAATTATTATCTCCAAGTTGCTGCTGGTTTTCCTGGTCCATGGCACCAATAATGTAACCCCACTAGTCGATCTGGTCAACAGCAACCAATAATGTAGTCCTATGCCCCCATGTTTGTCTTCAAGTTCCACTGTGGTTACCATTTAGCCAACTCCCCACTCATTAACACATTGCTGGTGTGTTGCTGGTATTGTGTTGATGGTTATGATTCTTCTCAATCTAGCTGGCATTTGTCTGCTTTGCGATCCTTCACTCATCTCCCATGTTGTGTTTTTGATCTCAGAGGGTGAGAAAATCACTGATTAAGGAAATTATAGTGAAGGACAGGTCGACAATGAGGAGCTATGCAAAAAAAAGAATCCTTTGGAATAAAGAATTAACTTGGGCTAAAAATGTAATAATGATTTGGTTTATATATGATTTGTTGTATATAGCGGTTTTAACCCTTCCCACTTATGGTTATAATCAAATGACATTGCTTACCACTGTATCTTTAACCCTAAATACAAAAATCTATTTGATATTTTATATACACTTGACTTTAGATATTATAGAATCCAGTGTGTCAGATTCATCATCTTAGATTCACTGTCTCTATTCACAGCTCTGAATAATAAAAACATGAGAAAATAATTAATAAATAAATTATTAAATAGGATTGACACTATTTATAGGAAAAAAGATGCTGTAATAGTCTTATGCAGAATCCCGAGCCATATTGACATACAAGGAAATGGAAAGGAATTGCTGAACTCTCAGATGTAAAGGTTCCACGTACCGATTTCTGACCCACCATAAACAGGACCATTAAAGAAAAATGGCAGCAATTATGGAACACCTGTAAAAACAACAAATTACACAACATCCAACCAATCATTAGTGAAAGACAGTCAAGTTACAGAAATATAAGGAGAGAGGAGGTGGTATTAGGCAGACTCCATATAGGACACATAAATAATCCACTAAAAAATGAGGAACTGCCAGTATGTGTTCCATGCCAGGAGCCATAAACTGTTAAACACATACTACTAAATTTCTATAAATTTCAACAAACCCAAAACAAATACTAAAAATCGGATAATTTAAAGGACCTATTTTGAAAATACTGATCCAAGTAATATCATAAATTTCATTAAAGAAATTGGTTCTACATGAAAATATAAGAAAAAAAACTCTTTACCAAACCTGCTTACCTACATTGGTTTGCAACCAATTTTCTGTAATCTACAGTTTCCACACACCTAAAAAAAAACTCGAAGGAATTTTTCCCCTATGCAATCCCCTGCTCCCAAAAGAAAATAATTCTATTTATTCACCTGTAAACCTTCTTCAGCATTAAATGATCCACCTGGGTTGATGTGCTGTAAAACTAATCAATCAATCAACCAGAGCAAAGTGCAATAAAAAAACATCTATCAATCAACAATCTACAAGAATCCTTAAGAAAAATTCTGGTTGAAAACCCTAAAATTCTATGTAAATCAAATTACTGAAAACATCTTGCTAAAAGTGAGGCCCTGTATATCAAACATCTCTTCCCCACTGTCAACCTCACCTTGTTTTTACAATGGAATTGGCGGGCTGAAAGTTTTTTAAAAATAGAAAGATGCTCACTCAAATTCCAGCCATGCTCAACATGTGAAGGCTTTAGATAAACACTCCTACTAGTATTCAAAAATACATCTCAAACAAAATAAAAATTAACATAACTTTCCTTGTCCATCATATATAGTGAAAGATATATATATATATATATAATCCCAAGTTATGATGAGATTCTACAGTGTGCGGCAGAAATATCTCCCAGAAATACCTCCCACACGATGGTTAGAGGTATATGTGAGAGATACTGCTGCTGCACTCTGTTTTATATATACTTATTATCACTTCTGACATGAGTCAAATACCTCCTGTTGAGAGTTGTACACGATATAAGATTTTTTTATGCAAGTCAATATTTTTACAATAAAATTGGTATTAACCAACTGATATTAATAAAATTTTCAAAATATATGACAAATATACTATATGAATTTCTGTTTATAATGTCTGTTTTTGTTGGAAATATTTACAATAACTTATTTGGTGATATGAGATTTAGGCAAAGTTTAACCATTACACCTGCAAAAAAGAAATCACTTTTTTTTTCTCTTGACACTGCTATTACTGTTTACTCCCTTGAAAATGTCTATTGTTTTAAAAACCTATGTTTATTTCAACTGTCTCTTTCTGATTTTATGTATAAGTATCCTTTTAGTTATCATTTTCTTTAAAACTTTATTCTTTGCTCACATGTTTAGTCTATGGTATTCTCAGTATTTGTCTGAAACATGTCTCACTTTCTTTTCTTCATCTACAAGGAAATTCTACATTACATTTTCCATCATTTGTTACTACACTACCCAGATAGATTACTTATTCATTTTTTTTTTTTTTTTACTTTTGACTTATTTCTCTATTTTCTGATTGTTCTTGACTGAATATATTACTTGATTCTGACATTTTCTATTCTGGGGCTATTTCTCTTGCTCATGACTATACATTGCATTTTATATATGTGATTATTTATATTTTCTGTTTTAGCTTTACAATGTCCCTCCTGAGACAATTTTGACTGAAGATCAGGTGGACCAAGTGACGCTAAAGTGTGAAAAAAGAATGCAACGGTAAGTAACATACATTGCTATAGTTTGCGTTCTCTTGACTGGAGATGATCACAAATATGGTTTTCTAAAGGGAAGCAAGAAAGAATAAAGGTTATTATTGCCTTTTCTATTATATATATATATATATATATATATATATATATATATATTACAGTGTGCTAAAAAGTTCATTCTATGCTTTAGGTGTGGTGATCATTGTTTCATTGAATTGTGTTAGGAATACATGATTTACATTGAACTGATTTTGAGAGAATTAGAAGTCCTACTAGGATTCATTATTGGTGGCCACAATCTTAACAACTTAAGATATACAGATTACACAGTGTTGATAGCAGACAGAAAGAAAACTAGAACTCCGACAGAAGGTAGTGAAAAAAAGAAAGGACCAAACATCAATTTCTAGAAGGCAGAATATATGATTATCAGTAAAAGAAACAGCCCAACATGCAAATTACAAATTGGAGATACCAAAATCAAGCAAGAAAGAGACAGTTGAAATTTCTAGGGTGCATAATGAGGAAATAGAGCTTAAAAATTTGCCACCCACAGAACAAATTGAAGGCAAGATGGACAGAGGAAAGCAGGTCATAACCTATCTAGCAAGGTTGTGGGCACCTCGGCATGGTGTAATGGTTAGAAAGCTTGTCTTGCTATATCAATTATAACTGAGTAGTAAGTTTGATCCTCACTGGGTGCCCCATACTTTCAGCCTTGTGCCACATTTAAGCTGTGCTTAGAAAATCACTATTTAGCAAGGTTGCATAAATATTTGGCAGAACAGGGTTTAGGAGAGATAGCAAAAAGACAAAATTTGCTAAATGCTACAAAGGACAGAAAATTGTGGTGAACCATGATTGCCAACATCCTGAAAGGTCAAAACACAAAAAGAATAGATATAAGAATTTAATATTTAACATTTTTATTTTTCATGAACTTTTATTATATATTATGAATTAACTTCTGTTATAACATAGATTACTCAGGAGTTATTATTAATAATAATAATTATAATTCTCTATAGACAAATGTTAACATGATACAAAAAGGCATATTTTCATTAACATTCTTGAGTGCATTAAGGTCTTGATTTTTAATTATGAATAGGTGATAAAAGTCTATTGTGTCAACTCACTCATAGAGTGACCTGACACAATAGACCTAGTACTACCCACTACCATGTTGGGTCATCAGAGACTAAACCAGTTTCCTCACTAGGCTTTTCTGGTGATGATGAGGGGTGGGGCTGAACTGAGCAGGATTATGAACATGACTTGTCAATGGCTGTAGACACAAAGGTGTAAACTGGGCTTCATAGCAATGTATACAGCCAGACTAGTGAGGACATGGTATCACTTGGTGAAGGGCTTCCTAGACTGAAGTCAATGTCCTGGGCGGAGGGTTCTCATGATGGAATTAATGGTCACATGTCTGTGACCAAAGTGATCCTTTAATTTGAAGGACATTGACTATAATTTGTCCTGGAGAGGGATAGACTCCGACAGGTCTACTTCCCCAAGATACATAGCTCTCCAGCCTTCAACTCAAATATATGAAGGGAATTGGTTAGGTTTTCAGTTTCACCGTGACTCTCCAGCCACACCTAGTCATAGGACTGATGATGATAAAAGTCTAAAAGAATATCATCAAATATGTTTTAAAATAAATTTTGTTGTATATAGTACTGTGCATTTTCCTATGTTAAATTCTTGAATTAGGCCTTCATTTTCTCAAATAAAAGATGAAGTAAAATAATAAACTCAAGAATTTTGGTTAAAGCTTAATGAAATATCCTAACATAGGTTTGTTTGTTTTTTTTGTCTTTTCTTTTTTAATTCAAAAAAAGATATGATCCAAGCCAAAACTTCAACTGTTATCTGAAGCCAGATTTGATTTAGATGTGCAGATGTGAGTTGTTTCTGACCATTGACCTATTTCTTGACTATTGTTGACTGAAGCTATTCAGGAGTTGATTTTAATCCTTAAAATATAATCATTAAATTTTTTCAGAATTCCTGTGCAGTACATCATTGGAGAATGGGATTTTTGTGAACTGACTTTAAAAATGATGCCACCTGTTTTCATCCCAAGACCAGAAACTGAGGTATGTGATATTTTATAAATTTGATTGATGCAAAAGTTTTCACCCATTTTTTAACAAAATTAAATAGCCTCATCAGGTTGAGTCTTTTATATGGGTGCTAAGCATGGTGCCAAATCCATTCAGAAATATCTAAACTGTCAGCTGTATATAACTGCTTTTTAAGATGAATAGTTAAAAATGACTTTCAGCAAGAGTGTCTTGGCAAAGATCATCCTTCTTTGAATATTATGAACTGAATCACAAAGAACTGTACCAAATAACAGAAACCACATAACTTAATGACTACCAATAACAGCAACAACTAAAATTGGTAGTACATGTAACTTGAAGAGAAAATAAGGATATAATCAAAATCTAGGTTCCTGCAGTTTATAAAAAAGAACTCACTTTTAATCCTACCAAATGCAAAGAACTTTTCTTTTTCTCTTGTAGACTCTATTTGTGATGTTGAAAACTGTTCTCAACATGATTTTCTCAATTTTGAATTCTTATAATAAATCTATTTTTATCACTAGACTTGTTCAAAAATGACTTTTTGTATCAACCAAGGAAAGAAAGACAAATGTTTTAAAAATTCCCAATGATCCTTTTTCTGTAGTCTCTTGTAAATACTATTTTCCTAACTTCTGAAAGCTTTCAAACAATTTACTGATTAATCTCTAATTTTTCTGCAAGTTCATGTGATATTTGTGCTGCATTTTCCTTCAAATGATCCTTTGGCTCATCAGTTTTAATGCTTTGTCCTTGAACTAAATTATCCTTTTTTTAAAATTTGCAAACCATTCCCAACACATGCTTTCACCTACAGCATCATCATCATCATCATCATAAGCTTCAATGATCCATTGTGTATCTTTTACTGCACTTTTTTCCTCCAGAAGAAGTTGGAAGAGTAAACAGTGTTGAATGTTCATTGTATATTCGTCCTTGCTTTGAATACTGCTGCAACATCTTGTCTCATTTTCCTGCTTTGTATTTAGAGATTCTTGATAAAATCCAAAGAAGAATCTGCAATGTTAATGGTCCTGAGTTGGCAGCTTGGCTTCAGTCACTTTCCTATACTGTAGATTCCCTGTGTTTTTTCTATAAATGCTTTCATAGTAATTGTTCTGATAAACTTGCTTCTATGGTACCTAAAACTTCATGAATTTAAGCACAAGATTGGTGGCAAGGTCTCATCTTTTTACAGCTGAAATAGCTAGATGTAACCATAAGTTCTTTGTTACCAGTTTCTTCTATCGCACTTCTTGCTTGTGGAACTCTCTTCTGGCTTCACTTCTTGCTTCCCAGTCAAGTTTGATTGTCAAAAATTTATATGCATTGTCAGTCGTTATCTACTGTCTTCTTAATTCTTGTTCTTTTAATGTTCTCTTTCCGTAATAGTATTTTTTCTCATATTCTCTAACAATCAGTAACTCCTTGTGTCTTAGTGGCTTTATTGTCTTGCTTGGGTTGAAATGATAAAAAAAAATATGCATTAATGATTTTCACCAAAATAAAGTAAAATAAATGGAAAACTTTCTCAAAGAGTATGCATACCTTAACAATAAAGAGCTGAGTAAACTTCAAAAACACTTCAAAGATTTCTATATGATTATGCAAAAGATGATCTGGGGAACTTTTGCAACAACATTATAATGGAGCCAAGTGTGTGATATATGAGGAGTGGTGAAAAGTTCTTAGCTTCACTTACTTCCCAAGATCTGACTAAATATAAATATCTTTTAAAAATCTCTTCTTGGTTAGGCTGAAAACTTTTCAGTATTCTTTCAAATTTCAAATCACTATTTTTATTTGCATCATTTTCATGCAGACTATTGCTTTTATCTTTGTTATTATATCACTTTGGTCATTGTACCCTCTAGCCTTCATTGGGTACATGTTGGTCTAGGAAACCTTCAAGGAATTTTGTACTGAACCCTTTATTTAATCTATAATAGTAGAGTGTTCTTGTTCTGCTGACCATATCTAATGTATCACGCTCCAGTTCTTATTTAGTACTGTTCAGTTATTGCTCACTCTATTCCCACTGAGTCCAAATCTGTGTTACCTGGCCTTGGGAGTGAACTTGCAATTACAATGTTACCATATCCATGATCCAATGCTTTAATCCACTAGGTTGGATTTATTACAACTGAGTTGTTATAAAAAAGAACTAGATGAGATATCCCTAGACATACTCAGCAGAACAAGAACAAGCTACAGCCATAGATTAAATAATGGGTTCAGTTTGAAATTCCCTGCAGGTTACCCAGATCAATAAGGACCTGATGAAGGTCGGGGGACACAACAGTCAATGCATAACAACAAAAGTCTGTATCTAAATAATGATAATTACTTGTTCTTGAAATTCAGGCAGAAATCTATCTATCTATCTATCTATCTATCTATCTATCTATCTATCTATCTATCTATCTATCTATCTATCTATCTATGCATGCTTATTAGAAGGTCAAATGAAGAGAACATATGGTAAAGAAATTTAGTTTCACTTCAAGATCCTGAGGTTAAACACTGACTCTTGGTTCCAGTGCAGAAATATAGGATCAAATGTATATTATTAAGAAATGTAATATAGCATTGGGGTTGGTAGGTAGATATCAAAAAATAAAGTAAGTTAATAACTTAGTTTTTTTTTTTTTGATATCTACCTACCATCACCATATTTTGAATTTATACCCCAATGCTATATTAGATTTATAATAATCTTGAACTTTGAATCCACACACAATATAGTGTTGCTGCCATGAGACCCAGACATTTAAAAAAACAACAGTATTGAACAGTTCATAACTTTTTTGTACCTGATGAATGAAAAAACCATGAAACTCTGAGTCATACTGTAAGCATAGGTATATGTGTATTTATTAATAAATACACACACACACACACACATATATATATATTATGAAATGGATTTTAAGTCCGACAATTATTTAATATATTTTCTGTTTATAAATTATTTTTATAGATACAATTTATTTAAGTAAATGCCCTGTTTTTAATTAAACAGTATTCATTACATTTTAATTATATTTACTGGCCTGAATGTTCAAGAAATTTCATAAGAATTGAACCTGTATTCCTATATGGAATCTATCATTTGGTCTGACATGTTGTACCATCCAGCTACAGAGAAGCTTCTGGTTTATAAAGTTCGAATTACTGTGTATAAACACACAATTTGGACTTTGCTAACCAGATACTTCTCTGTAGTTGAATGGTACAGCACGTCAGGCTAAATGATTGTTTCTGTATAGGAATACAGGTTAGATTCCTGTTGGAGAATGCATATTTTCTCAGGCTCTGTAGGATCGTCATATCAGTACAAGACAGTGAATACAGTCTAGTGAAAAAAAAGCAATATTGTACAACATCTCTGGAGAAGTTTAAGAATATCATCAGCTGTTGGGAGTTTGAAAAGAATTGGAGTCTGTTTCCCCAATTGTTAATGAAATTAAAAAAAATCTAATTATACTCGAGACAGAGTACCTCCAAGAAATTAATATTTCCTCTATGTTGTTTGTTCTTATTTGTTGACTGTTATCTTCCTTTAATTTATTGAATCTTACTGAAAAATTGGTTAGTGTTATATACACTTAATGTCAGTGATTTCTGCTTGATCCCAAGTAAATGCCAAGACTTTGTCTGCATTGAAAAATAAGTGCTCTGTAATATGTAGTGACTGCCTAATTAGCAAAGCTAATGCATAGACTATAAATGTCCAAGCAGTAACGGAAAGGGCAACTCTCAGTATGCAAGAAAAACAACTACAGCTGAACTGACAAAATACGAAAGGAAACACACAATCTGACAGGCCTTCCCTGCTTGGAAGATTAATGTAATACAATTTCCCTACTCTTTCCATCCATTACACTTCATTTGGCCATGTGCCATACTAAGTTAATCCCAGTAAAAAAAAAAAATGGTTGAATAATGGCAGACTACATAAATTAATGTGCAGGTACAATTGTCTTTGTTCTGATTTGTATGTACATATATTTGTCTGTTATCAGTGAACATATATGCCAGTGGATGAATTCTAGCAAGTGACTTATTGAGGCTACATGTAGTAAAATAAGATTGATTACCAGTTAGAGAATGGAGTGTATGAAGAAAAAGGAAAGAATTGCTTGCAGTGCATGATGGGATAAAGAAAAAGATGTCTCAAGCAAATCAAATCTGAAATAGTTATTTAGTAAGGATACTTTTGGTACAAGGACACAAAATATGGGGCACTCAGTGAAGATCAAATCATTGCTAATCATTGCACTAAAGTCAGGCTTGAAATCAACAAGTTCATTTTTGTTTTATCTGTTATTTAATTGTGGAAAGTGGATCAAATAAATATTTTCATTAATTGAGATTTGTAATTGGACTTGTGACATATTTAAATGAAATATTATATGTCTTGCTATTTGGACCAGCATGCTCATTTTGATTGTTATACTGTTTTGGCCATAGCACTGAAAACCTCTATAGTAGACCTAAGATAGAGATAAGTACTATCTGAAAGCCAATGATTAAGAAAGACAGAACACTCAAAAATTGTACTGCTTGATTCAGGACACTTATAGACTCACACAACCTAAGTACAAAGATTAGGTTTAAGGCTTCAGAATTTCATCATTGTCCAAGAGACACATGACCTTGTGGATTAGTCAACATTTAACCAACTTCATGACAGTTCAGTTCAGTTTGGGCTGGTAGTGCTTAAAAAGTCACATTTTGAAAAGTCACATACCAAAGTATGTGACTTTTCAAATGCAAATAAGATTGTTGATTATTAACTGATATGAAACATTCCCTGAGAATGGAAAGTGGAATGAGAACACTCTACTTGCATCAACTGAATAAAGGGTTCACTTTAAAATACCAAGGTTACCAAGTCTGAAGAAGGCTGGAAAACACAACAACCAAAATGTGAACATAATAATAATTCCACACCTCAAAAATTCTATTTAAATTCAGCTTAAGCTGGGAGCTACTTTTTGAGTAAGGATTCTGATGCAAGCCAAACATTATCATTGTTTTCTTTCTCCTTACTTCCTTTTTTTATTCTTTTCCAGGAACTTGTCAATTTCATCCATAAACATTTCAAAGGGACAAAGCAAAAAAACAAATATGGCCGATTTTTGGAGATAGGCTGTGGGTCAGGTGCTATTAGTCTGTCTCTTTTAAACAAACATCCTGAGGTATGTTGATTTGAATGCTTTCACATGTAATCTTGCAGTGAAATAATTAAAACTGTACATAGTCTTGTTCTCTCAGTAACACTTATCTCAATTCCTAACCACTAAAAATCACTTTCTTCCCGATTTTCTGTACATTTCTATAAAATCATAAGCAGTGTATTTTAAATAATAGATTTATGCATGGATAGAATTAGTTTATCTGAGAGACCATTGGCTTAATTCTTACCTTACTTCTTGATCACTGGCAAGCACTTTTTTCTTGAATTTTTTTCAATGCACGCTATACAAATTGTCTGCTTAAATAAATTTATGGCCAAATATTTCAAAATTCAATGATTAAATTATCATTTCCCCTTACTGCCAGAAATATTTATTTAGAACAGAAAATGACCAAAACTGTAAAGGTAAGTGATGAATTAATAATAAACTAAGAAGTAATAAAGAAAGTTTAAACCTTGCCTTCAGATAAAATATTGTCAGTTAATTTTTATTTTGTATTTTTTTTATAATCAGAGTGAATGAGAGTTTTGGTATATTTATTGGGTAAATTCTATCAGTAATATCAGTTTATATAAAGTGCAAGTTATCTAATAAAAATTCTGTTATATATGTGTTTTTAAATGTATTAATGATAAAGAGCATCAGTTATTTTCCAACTTGTAAATAAGTAATACATATAAACTGAGGGAGAAGTTTATGACCTTTTTTGCTAAGATTAAACCAAGTCCCTAAATATTAGACAAAAGAAGTGACTGTTTAAAGTCAAAATGTTCAGAAGTACAGGTTGAGTATTCTTTATCCAAAATTTGAAAACCTCCAAAATCTGAAAGTTTTTAGATGCTGACATGATTTGCCACAAATAGAAAATTTCAGAGATCACTGGAAAAGTTCATAGGTGATGTGCAGCTGTTGTAAGTGACCTCAACTTCCCTGGGTAGGGGTTCCCCAGCCCAGCTACATAGCCTGTGTTGGCACCATTTTTTTGTTAGTGATCATCACCACAACACCTTTGTGGATTACTTGCCAGGTGTTTTGCACTCAGTAATGATATTATTCAAAATGTCAAAAAATCCTGCATTTATATATTTTTTGTAAGTAGTGATTATGTTTTTATGTACACATACAGAATGTACAAAACATTTTTATGTGAAATTTTAATTTCACCACTTAAAAATCCATGACTAGCATCATTACCTGTATCTGTATGTACACAAAATTTATTAAATTTTATATAAAACTACTTTCAAGGTATATGTTATTTATATAAAACTACCTTCAGGGTAGACATATAAGCTGGGTTATGAAATGTAAAAGGATATTGTGTTTATGCTTGGGTTCCATTCCCAAGCTGCTCCATTTTATAGATGCTATATACAAATTAAATAGTCTATATTTCAAAATCTGGACAAAACTGAAGCACTTTTGGTCTCAAGAATTTGGGATGAAGTATTCTCAACCTGTATTATATTTTTTCTGTGTGTATGCTTCTATCCACTTTTTCTTTAGTATGATTAGGTTTTTACAAGTAGATTGGTTGCCTTCTTATTCTTCTTCCTTCTTCTCAGTACATTTAGACTCTACTGTGAAGTGGGCCACGTCCTCACCATACTAGGTCATGCTACTGTGGTTTCTATAGCAAGTAGGTTTTTACAGGGTAGAGTTACTAACCAGGTTTGAATTCAGATTTGTTTTAGCTTGGCTTCCATTACAAGGCTAGAGATCCCCATCAGACCTGTTATTTAACATAGCTAGGAGGAGAAGTGGTAAAATAATTTACTTTTAATATGACATTATTTTATAAAGTCAAAATATTTGTGCCATAAATTTTTTTCTGTATATATATATATATATATATATATATATATATATATATATATACACTAAAATGAGGATTGGGAAAAAAAGGTACCTAATATTTAATATAGTGATATTTATTTATAATATATGTGTTATGTCGTGTATATTGCTGAGTAAGCATTCGACCTCTGTTCTAGTTGGTGTCCATTTATCATATGAGCTACCTGCTCATATAAAAATTATGCTAATTTGCATATCACTACATCTCCCTATAACGGAGGGGCCTTATGCCGCGAGTACTTCTTGTACTTCTTCTTGTGCCCTCCTGAACATCTTCCTTTATCTCTCTCCTTTCTCTTGGAGATCTAGATCTATCACGTTTTTCCCTATAATTGAACTGTTCCTCTTGCATACTGTGGTCTTTCTCTTCTAACTTGTCCCATTCTACTTCTTCCTCTTCTAACTCATCCGTCTCTACTTCTTCCTCCGCAGTTTCATTCTGCATTAACTCTTCTGTTACGTCAATAATGGGCATCTCTGAAGGCATTTCCTCATCTGATTCTTCTCCTTGGGATCTTATTTGGTCAGCATGAGCTAGAACACTGTTCCCATTTTCTTTATTTAATATTGCAGTATTATGTCCTTTCTGCATAATAAATTGGCTGACTCGGTTGCATATTCCTATTTCTTTTGTACCACATCTTTTTGATTTGTGGCATATGACATAGTCAAAGGGACCTTAATTGTCTGCCCATTAAGGCAGATGGACTTTCCGCCTGCCTGCATGTGGAATTGTTCTATAACTTAATAGTAGTCTTGGTAGAAAAGCATCAACTTCCTCCTGCTGTTGCAAGCATGCTTTTATGCCCTTCTTTACCGTCTAGACCACCCTTTCCACTGTCCCATTACTCTGAGGGTCGTAGGGAGGGGGTCTTGTAAGGTCTGCATCCTATTTGTCTTAGCCATTCATGCAAATCAGCATCCACAAGTTCTGGTGCGTTATCAGTCACCAATGTTTTCGGTGTCCCATTCCTCGAAAATATTACTCTTAATATTTGTTTCACGGTGGTACTTTTTTTATCAGGTACTCTCACCACTTCAGGCCAACCTGAATATGCGTCTACTAATATTAATAATAGTCCTATCCCATTGACATAGGCATGGTCCATGGTTCTACTTCTCGGGGCCATACATGTATTTTCTTTTGCTTAAAATTCCTGAGTTCTGTGCATTTTTTGCATTTAATTACGTAATCTTCTACGTCTCTTGAGTACCCCGGCCACCACGCTTCCAATTTTAATCTTCTTTGCGTAGCTGCCACTCCACAATGTACATCATCGTGTACACTTTTTATAACCTGTCTCCTCTGTGTTTCTGGGGGAACTACCAAGTCTCCATTACATATTATCCCGTTTTCTATAGTCATTCTATGTCTAATTTCTTTGAATGGTCTTTCAGCCATTGAACAATTTCCCCAGTGATTCTGTTTTATCCTTGACATTATTCTATTTAACACTGGGTCATTTGTAGTTTCAGTAGCCATTTTATCTACAGATATTACATCGGTTTCTACAAGGTGCAAGAATGTGTCTTCAAATTCCTCATCGTTTTTGTCCTTCTCCTCTCTATAAAACCTCAATCTAGATAAGGCATCAACGTGTGGTATCGTATTCCCTTTAACATATTCAATGTCAAAGTCGAACGCCATCAGTCTAATCGCCCAACGTAATATTCTGGATGTTGTAACTTTCAGTAGCTCTTTTCTTGGGTTGAAAATAAATTCTAGTGGTCTGTGATCACTTTTCAACAAGAATTTTTTTTTTCCCATCAAAAACTGTCTTGTTTCTATCTGTTGTCCACACTATGGCTAGTGCCTCCCTTTCTATATTTGAATAATTGTGTTCAGTTGTTGTTAATCTCCTCGATAAGTACATTATGGGATGCCCATCTTGTGACAAAATACCAGATATGGACTGCTCACTAGCGTCAGTAGTTAGAGTTATGTCCTTCTTAGGGTCAAAAATTTGTACTATTGGCTTTTTTTTTGCCAGAATCTGTTTTAAGTTTTCAAAGGCTTTTTGTTGGTGTTCTAACCAAATGAATTCCACATTTTTTTTCTTAACTTAGCAAATGGTTCTGTCAACTCATTATATTTTTGGTACATATTTTCTATAAAATTTACCAAACCTAAGAAGGACTCCAACTCTTTTTTTTATTTTTCGGTGTAGCAACTTTTAGAATTTTCTCTATTAATACTTTATCTGGAGAGATCCTTCCTTTGATATTGAGTAACCCAAAATGATATTTCATTACTGTTGGTTACACATTTTTTTGTATTTATTGTCATACCAGCGCCTCTTAGCCGGTTCAGTATATTTTCAGTTTTTTTTTCTTTAAATCATCTTCATTTAAATCTCCAACACATATATCGTCTTGATAACAGATGGTATTTTCAACATTTCCTATTACTTTTTCAATAGCTTTTTGAAAAATTGCACTTGCCGTTTTTATGCCATACGGCATTCTTTTCCACCTTAACAGGCCTATAGGTGTGTTTATGGTCATCACTTCTTTAAAATTTTCATTTATCGGTATTCGGTGGTAAGCTGATTTTAGGTCTATCTTCGAAAATACTTTCATTCCAGCAAGTTTATGTAAAGCTACTTCCACATTCGGAATAGGGTATGAGTCAGCATAAACTTTATGGTTCACCCCTATTTTATAATCTCCACAAATTCTCAGGTCACCATCTTTTGTTTCAATACCACAATGGGTGATGCCCATTTACTTCCTCCTGGAGGGGCAGGTTCTAATAAGTCTTCCTTTATTAGCTTTTATAATTTAGCTATTACCAACGGTAATAAATGCACTGGTATTTTTCTCACTTCGTAGTAGGGGGGAAACATTTTCTTTTAATTTCAGGCTAGCTTCATAATTTTTTAATTTTCCTGTTTTTTTCTATTTCTATCTCATTAATCAACTTCGTTGAATTTATTTTTAACACATCATTCCCCAATAGTCCATACATTTTTCGGCAATTTGTAACTATAATGGGTACTATTTCATATTTTCTTTTTAGTTCTATTGAACCTTCAAAGTAACCCATAATTGCTATAATCGAACCATCAAACTGAAATAATTGTACATTGGTTTTTTTTAAAAACGGTTTTCCCATTTTTTCCCACAAATTTCTGGGTAATATCGTGACCTCACTACCTGTGTCGATTTGCATTTCGACAATACAGTCGTTGATTTTCACTTTTATTTTTGTATCTCCATTCTTAGATCCAGTATTTTGTATATTATCCTTTTTTACATTGAAAATCTGTCTATTTTCATCCTCTACTCTTTCCACATTTTTCGTTTTACATACTTCTTTGAAGTGATTTTTTTTTTAAACACTTTGAACACGTCTTTCCAAAGGCTGGGCATTTTTCTTTTTTCATTTCATGAATTTTTCCACAGTACATACAATTTTTTCTTTTTGTTTGTACCATATATGTTTCAGCCATTATTTCTTCGGATTTATTTTTATTTTGGTTGTAGGTATGTATTAATTCCTGCTGTTGTATAAATTCTATACACATATTCAAGGCATGTTTGTAAGTTGTAACTGTTCCATTAACTTATATCTATGTGCTGAATTATGCATACCTTCAATTAATCTTAGTTGGATTAATTCTTCTTCGGTTGTCTGCTCTCCTGTTCCTAGTTTTTCAAATTCACAGTATTTACTCGCACTTCTTAACCAGTGTAAATATTTTACTATCGGTTCATCCACTTCCTGCTTCATTGCCATAAGCTTGGTCCTTTCTGCAATCACCAGTCTTTTCTTTGGTCTCATGTTTCCCCTAATAACCTGACTTATTTCTTCGAAAGTCATTTCTTCTAGTTCTCAAGGGTAAACCATTGTAGCAACCTTCATAATCGCTTCACAACCAGCGGTAGCCATAAACAAGTTGGTGATTTCATTTTCCCCTCCTCTGCTTTTGTTGTCTTTCAACTTTTTACATCTTGCATTAGCAGCAAAGCAACGAATCCATGTATCTACGTACTCTGGGTCTTCAAGGATTAAAGAGTATCCTATCGGCGACGCCATCGTTATGTCATGTATATTGCTAAGTAAGCATTCGACCTCTGTTCTAGTTGGTGTCCATTTATCATATGAGCTACCTGCTCATATGCAAATTATACTAATTTGCATATCACTACAATATGAATTTTTACAAAGAAGAGTTAAAACTTTGTGACTTACAATTGGATTTTCAGTGTTTTTTTTGTTTTTTTTAACTTTTTTTCCAATCCTCATTTTAGTTTATACAATAAGTTTTTGTACAGAATCTTTCTAACAAAAATGTTTTTATCTATCTATCTATCTATCTATCTATCTATCTATCAAACTGTCATCAATAAAGATGCCAGGCATGGAACTGACAACCAACTTGTCTCATCTCAGATAAGCTAATCCTCTCCATGAAATATTTCTTTGGCTTATTTTTAGAGAGCAAACCATGCATATTTCATATTTTCTAATTGTCAAATAAAAAGTTAGATATTTATTGTTGAATAATCATGAGATATATGAATACTTTAACAAATCAAATTATAAATTTTCGACCTCCTCTACCCAAGAAAAAATTAATATCTGTATATCCTTTCTGTCTGAATTTCTTGGAGGAAGAGAAATCATTATTTACTCACAGACAGTTGTCTTCATCTTTGTTGCTGTTATCATGTTTTCGCCATTGTACTCTCTGGCCTTCATCAAGTGCTTGTTGTTCCAGGTAACCTTCAAGAATTTTTTACCTGTACCCTTTATTTAATCTACTGGGTTAGATTGTTCTCTTTCCATTAACCATGTCTAAGTGTATCTTGTCTAGTTCTTATTTAGTACTGCTCAGTTATTGCTTACCCAGTTTTCACTGAGTCCAAGTCTGTGCTGCCCAGCCCAATATTCACTTCAGAGGTTACCTGGATCAATATGCACCCAATGTAGGCTTTTATGCCATTGTTGCTAAATTGAAATTAGGATGAAATCTCCGTAAATGGGTGACCCTCTTTCTGCCAGTCTCAGTCTGCTCATATGTATTATTGTTTTTCAAAGCAAGCGCTTCAAAAAGGCTCACAGTTGTGATACTAATTTTGAGATATATAGTCTACACATTAACATCTTTGTCATTGTTGTTACCCTTACAAAATTATGATATACCCAATACAAAGCCCAACGTACATTTCACTTGGAAAATACTTATTGTAAATTGTTATTGAGTGTAACAATTTTGCAAGAAAAATTAAGCTTTAAAACTCTTAATGCCCTGTTCTGCAAAACCACATCACCTAGTGTCAGGAAGAAAATAATACTTAGGACAAGAATAACACAAAATTTGCCAGCGGCACGTAGAAGTAGTAGTCAACTGCTAGAAGTGAGTCAAGTGAATTCCACAATGAATTTCCAACTGCAGATCAACATACAGTATTTACTACTGTTTTTATGTGAATGGGGATACCCATTATTGTCTGTAGGTATGCTACAACACTTACATTAAAAAGTTTCTAACTTCCTTAGTACACATGTGTTTGTAGCATTTGTTAATCATGCTGTGCTACCCTTTGTGTGAGAAATGGCTCCAAAAAAGTTACAATAGAGGCAATGATAAAAATACCCAAGAATGTTAAGCCAGCGCTAAGTCTTTAACAAGTGTTGATCAGTTGAAAAACATGTCAGTGACCAAAGTTGAATGGAAAAAGAGAAAAATGAGTCTAGTATCTGTGCAATAACAAAACAAAAAAAAAATGAAATTTTCTGAAGTGTGAGTGATTTAACTGCAATGGAAAAAATAATGTCTCAAGTCTAGGATAAAGTTTTTACAAAGACAGAAAGCATTAATAGGTAGAAGCCTATCATTAATACCAGATTTTTTATTTTAATTTCTTTGCAATTAATACCAGATTTTATGGTAGGCATTAATGGTAGGTTTAATGTGTGTCTAGCGAACATCATGCAGAAGAATTCTGCAGGAAAAGGTGCTTGGCTTATATGAACATTACAGTGAGATCATTGAGCAGAGCAATAAGTTGTTTCAAGATAGCAAGGGATATCTTTATAGTTTTATAGAATATAACCTCAAGAACCCAGAAAAATAGCATCAGGTATCCCAGAATACTTAGAAATAAGAAAAGAGGCTTCTCAAAAAGCAAGTCTTCAACTGAGATTAAATGGGTTGTTACTACAAGAAAATACCAAATCATACCTATTTTCTATAGTGAAGAAAACAGCGACTTACCTCGTCAAACCAAGCAAAAGTGTGTCACATGTATCCTATGATGGAAAATGAGGCGAAAAAGAAAATTACTTACCCCAAAAAAGGGTACATTGACATGATGAAGATGGAATATTTAAATTAAAAAAATAAGTCTGTCGCAGGAGTTGCCATAAAAGTATTTTGGTATGTAAAAATTGAACGTCCTCTCCCAGCTGTTAACGAATGGAAAAAAAAAATGCTCAGCCAATAAAATCAGTTGGTGTTCTCGAATTGGGGAGGAAAAATTTGGTTATTTTGGCTACTGCGTTTGTTGGAGAGTGAGTTATTTTTCTGACTGGTTGCATGCATTGTGAGATAGTACCTGTGAATCAAGTTTTCGGCATTTCTTTCTGCCCCCGATGTTTGAGTCTGAACTTATTGATTTATTCTCTGCGTTGTGGAAGTAATCTGCGACAAATGTTTCCTTTGCAATCCCATATCATTTACCAACTATTTCGACACTATGACGAACAAGACATTTGACATCAAGTTGATACCAGAGTTTGATGGTTCAGTGACCGGACAAGCAGTTACTGAATGGATTGAGAAGGCAGAACTTGTTTGTGACCTGTGTGGAATTAAAAAGGTTGAACGTGTTCTTCCTTTGAGGTTGACGGGCAGAGCATTTGCTGTTTACCAGCAGTTAAACTCCGATGTCGAGCAGATAAAACAAGCCCTGCAGATTGCCTTTGCATCAGATTGTTTCTTGGCTTACGAGCAGTTCACGGAACAACAACTGCACCCAGACAAATCCATCGACGTGTTTCTAGCCGACTTGAAGAAGCTAGCAGGTCTATTTGGCGGATATCTGAGCAAGGACTAGCATATGGGTTCATAGCAAGGTTACCAGCACACGTCAAGCAACTACTGCACATGTCTTCCAGGATGGAAGACATGAATACAAACCAACTGTTGGACTGAGCTTGGGCCATAATGAAAGATCAAGTTGCAACTTGAGGAAATGATTGCCCGGTTTGAGAAGATGCCCATCAGCCACGCAGGTCACACACAACAATGCATTGCTTCCGGTGTCAAAAAGTAGGCCACATTGCTTCATTGTGTCCAGGGAAAAGAGGAAGAGGACAAGATGTCAGCACTGGTCTCTTCCCTAAGCGAGTTATGAATGAAGCGCTACCAGTCTTGGGTATTTACGTGAACGGAATTAAGAGAGTGGACACTGGTGGACACTGGCTGCTCACAGACACTCATGAGTAAGTCAGCCTGTCAATCCTGGTGGGTGACAGAGGTGAACGTACTCACCATAAACAGAAATACTCTCAAATGTTGCGGAGTTGAAAGTATTAAGCTTGACGTGGACAATGCAAACCCCCTCAAAATCGAAGTCTTGGTAGTGGATGGAAAGCTATTGGGTTTTGACTTGTTGCTTGGGTTTGATGCCATTAAAAAGTTGGGCAGACTCCAAATAACAGAGTGTGGCGATGTATGGTTTCCCAAGCGTGGGATAGTCTGTTGCACCTCTATTAAAATAGAAGAACCTGATTTCTGTGCCAAATTCAAAAGAAATACTTTGAGGAGGGGTGGTCATTTCATCATCAACTCCAAGTCATTCTGAATCCCTGATGTATGAGGATTAACACATCTCCAAAAACAAATGCCATTGCTGTAGTCACTTGATTAAAGCATCATGAAATATGTGAAGGTGACGTACACTTGCTTTACCTATTCATGCTACATAAACTATTGACTATATAAAAATGTTGTAGTGAACGAGATAATCAAGTACCCCGGAAAAAAGTTCGTGTTTTGTGTGCGATCTGCCGAAGAAGGATTACCAAAAAGTAGTCAGCAAAACTCTTATAGCGACTTACCTCGTCAACCCAAGCGACAGTGCGTCGCGTGTATTCTGTGACGAAAAAAGAAACAAGTCTGTCGCAGGAGTCGCTATAAGAGTATATGATATGCAAATTATGAAGCATCCTATCCCAGCTGTCGACGAATGGAAAAAATAGGTTCTGCCAATAAAAGCAGTTGGTGTTTTCGACTCGGGGAAGGAAAATTTGGGCATTTTTGGCTACGGTGTTCGTGAGTTATTTTCCTGACGCGTTACAAGTGATTTTCTTTCTTTGTGTTGTGAAAGCCACAAATTTGCTTTGAGAATGCTTACTCTTCAAATGTGTACCTACTATATAAACACTAATCCTAGTTTGAGTTGTTATAGTCCCTCTCTTATCATGCAGAATACAAATGACATTGCCCTTTGATGGAGAGCACTATGCACAGTACTGATTCCATACTTTAAACCAGGAATTTATTTGCTAAGGCCCAGTTAAATGGGATGTTGGTAGTAATGACTTGAGGTTGTAGGTGATTTGCTCTCTGAGGAAAATAGTCTAGCCAGCTATAGGAGCATTCTGTTAATATAATTGATCTATCCAGATAGAAAATCTGGAGTTGCTTTCATAGCAATAGATTGTAGTTTGTTTATTTAATGTTTTTATTTTATTAAGTTTTAACAAAGTGTAAGTCCCATATGTTCCTCCCACCCTTCTATTCCTTCATTTATCCTTCTACCTCCCACATTTGAATTCACTTAAATATACTGGGGGGGGCAGTTTTTGATATTATGTAAGTTGGACATATTGTATGTATGTGTAAGTGGAAAGGTCCATGCAGGTTGTCAATGCACTAATGGTCACCAACATACCAATGGTCAATATCAACAGTCACCAAGACATGTCAACGCACTGACAGTTGCCACCAACTGTTGCCAATGCACCAACAGTCAATACCAATGGTCACTAGTACACCAACAATCAATACCAATCATCACCAATGTTTACAACTAGCCATAGGAACATGCATAAGCAGGTAAAAATAGCTCCTTGGTACTGAAATGTAGCAGTTTATATAAACACTTAAGATGCCCACAATTGGTAAGATCAAGATTTGCATATTCTGCTAACTTCTATATAAACAAGCTGACAAATTTGACAGAAAATGCATGCAATCTGTAGGAGTTTCATTCGATGAGAAAAGTGATTGTTTTTAATTAATTAATTAATGATTATAATAAAAGCATGACTGGAAAAATATTATATAGACCACTTAGCTTGCTTCATTCTTTTTTTCAGTTCCTTATTGATTTGAAGAAGACAGAAATTCTATAGAAAGTCACTAGGTCAATATATATATATATATATATATATATATATATATATATATATCTTCAAAACTCCTAGAAGAAACAGACAATTTCCTCTAGGCTGATCTGTTGGTGGTGGCTCTCAGTAGTCCCATCATTTTCCCCATTCGTCACTGTCTGCATCTACCTTCAACCATGCCTTGATGGTCTTGCAGAGGCTGTCATGCCATGCAATGTGGTAAACCATGTCATCTTCACGGCATTTAATAGTGGTGAGGAGGGATTCCTGTCAGCCAAGACTTTCAACCTTTTTTTTGTACATAGTTGCTGGTTTTGTGTTCCCAGTAGGTGATGTGCAGGATCTTTTTCAGGCATTTCTCCTCAAATGCCTGGATCATTTTTCCTGTCTCAGCCCATAGTGTCCAAGTACAACACACACAGAGCAGGATGGAGATGACCAACAATTTGCAGAACTTGAACTGGGAGCTGATGTTGCTCTTTCATATCTTTTCATATTTGACCATCATTGCTATGCTGTAGTGTTCCATATGTGGATATCTGTGCTGCAGGTGCCATCTTTTGACAGGATTGCTCCCAAGTATCTGAAGCTGGATACTTCCTCCACTGGTTTGCCATTTTTGGTGATGCTGACACTGATGTTGTTTGTGCTATTCGCCATAACTTTGCATTTCACTGTATTGAGTTCCATTCCATATGCACCATCTCTTTCAATGAGTTTGTTGGTCAGCTCAATGTTACTGCCTGCCTTAGGGTCAATATTGTCTGCAAAATGCGGGTTGCAGACAGAGTTACCACTGATAAAGATAAAAGTGTTGTGGTCATGGAGGGTTTCCTGCACAATTATCTCCAGAAACAGGTTGAGGAATGTTGGAGAGAGTAGGCATCCCTGCCTGATGCTGATATCTGGAAGAAATCTTCCATATAGTTACTCAAGAGAACTGTGCTGGTGGCATGGTCATAGGGGGCCTGGATTACTTTATGCCCTTCTTCTATGTTGAATCCTCTGAGGACATACCAGAGGCCATCGTGTCATACCCAATAAAATACTTTCTTGCATTAAATGAAATTGTGAAACATGTCACTCTGGTTTTGCAAATGTTTCTCAATGAAGACCCTATAGTTGAACATTTGTTGCACTGTGATCTGTCTGGCTCTGAAACATGCCTGTTCTTCTGACAAACTACTGTGAGCTTTGGAGGACAACTCTGAATTCAAAACCTGTGGAGGGTCCTTTGGGGGCCTTGTGGCATACAGTGCACCAGGTCTCTGTATTTGACTCTTTAAAAAGTGTGGTATGCTCTGTACAAAGCCCTCACCACTATAATCAAATGATTTGTGTGGGTGGTCTGGTTGTTGGTTTCTAGGAACTGTGTTACTTGACACTCATATGTTGAAACTGACGGGAGAGTCAATATATATATATATATATATATATATACATATATATACTATATATATATATATATATATATATATATATATATATATATATATATATATATATTAATTTAAATAAAAACAGACCACTTTAAGGTTCCATGTAATAAATTATTTCACCACAGCCCTTTTAAAGGACTGCGGATCATCAGACTTTACTTCCAAGCAAAAAATGAAAAGAAAATTTACACATTTTTGACGGGCCGTATTAAACATATGTAAATCTTTTTTTTAATCCCTTTAAAAAATTTTTATTATTGATTATTAAGTTGACATCTCTATCCATGTGAATTTCGTTCATGAATTTTACTCGTGACTGATAGATAGGTAATCTCTTTTACTTAAATTTTAGTTAAGTTAATATGGGGTAATATTTGAAGGTAATATTAAAGATCTTGCTCTGTCATATACTGTATACACACCCATGCAAATATCACATATATACACGTTCCTTTACATGTTCAATCACTCATACAAATACGGCCCTTCAAAAATGTGTAAATTTTCTTTTCATTTTTTGTTTGGAAGTAAAGTCTGATGATCTGCAGTCCTTTAAAAGTGCTGTGGTGAAATAATCTATTACATGGAACCTTAAAGTGGTCTGTTTTTATTTAAATTATTTTCTCTGGATTTACATTGAGCTCTCCTCAATCCTTATCCTCCTTAGGTTTACCCATACAGATTACCTAGTTTTTCATAAACTATATATAGTGAAATCAATGTTTTTAATGCATGATTATCACACATGGCAGCAAAAGAGAAAATCAGGTTTTACCTTGGAAAAGAATTTGAATTCTTTGTGTTATCTGTTGAAAAAGGAAATCAGAATCAAGATCGGGTTGGCCTTCGTAGGCCTTAAAATATGCTAATTGTTTGTGCTTTCCTACCAATCTCAACCAATGATGATCTTTCTTACATAAATAAAAGAATGCTACTTTTGATGACAGGGTGGTTTGGATTATTAGTGGATGAAGAGGTAGTTGTGTGTTGAAATGTGAATTTTTTACCCTTTTGATTTACATCCCTGGTATTTTCTGATGTTGGACTTGCGAGATTGATTTTTAATACTTGGAATTAAAACCTTACACTTAGGAAGTTTAGGAGATAGATATGTAATCCTGTCCTTTCAAAAATTAGTTATATTATAAGAAAAAGAATACCTTTTGTTTCAATTTATTTTTTCATTTCAATTACACCAATACGATTTCTCTTTTGTTTTCTAAAACCCTCAGTGTTGAAATAATTTAAGGGTCATTATCATAGTCAAGAATTCAAGAGGTCAACTTTCAATGCTCAGAAATAAGGCCATGGTAGATTCAACAAAATGTGTTTGTTTTTTTTTTTTGTTTGTTTGTCTGTCATTTGCTAATTGATTTCAGTGGAGCTGTGTAGCTGTGGATATTTCCAAGAAAGCCTGTGCTCTCACCAAAATGAATGCAGACTTGTATCAGATGAATGATCGGATCACAGTTCTTGAACATGACATTAACGGAGGCGAGTCTGATTTGACTTTTGATTCATCTGAATATTTTTTGAGTGCCATCCACATCATTTATTTTATTCTTTAGCAATCAGAATGAAATATTATGAAAAATTTTAATTATACAAATGAATATACAAAATAAGGTGATCATAATAATTTTATGTTGCCTGAACTTCTGTGATGAGGCACAGTCAATATTTTTTTATTACTTATTTTTCTTTCATTTTATTGCTTTTTATTGCAATAATTGGGTTGTTTTTTTACATTCTGTGACAGTAAGGAAGCTGTACAGATAAAAAATATAAAGTATTAATCAGAACTTTGAATTCACATCCCTATCTTTAGTAGCCTGTCTGATATGGACAGTGCCTTACCAATTTCATAATAACCAGCAGATGACATTCAGATTTAAACATTTAGCTACATTCTTCATTATCTGTCTATATTTCTGAGATGAAGTAGTGTAACTATTTACCTATTTACATTGTTCGGACATTTATCCTCATCTTTCACATTCACGTTTTAGCCGTTGTATACTCCAGCTTTCTTTTGAACTAAACCCTTTATTTAGTCCTCGGGGGTAGATTGTTCTAATTCTACATGCCATGCCTTTGGATATATCAGTTTTAGTTAATTTGCCTTGATAACTCTTCAGGTTCTATTCTCTCCACTGACGCCAGGGATTGAACTCACAACTCTTTGGGTCAAGTCATTTGTTTGGATCAATCAACCAATACTTTTATCCACTGGGCTGAAACGTTGTGAATGTGACAGTAAAGATGAGGACAAAAGTCCGAACAATGTAAATAGTTTCAATACATTCTTCATTATCTAAATTTTATTTCATACAATATTGTTTGTTTACATATAGATATCGTCATAGGAAGTGTGTCTTACCAAATTTTATGGCTTATAAGTGCCCTCTCCCCAATTATATATAATAAAACATGCCCCTGTTTTAATCTGATTGAGGTTTATAAAATATCATAAAAAGCATTCAGTCAGGGTTACTGATCAACATAAGAAAAACACTAACAAAAAATAAGAAAGTACAAAATTAATTCTGACCATTGTGCTATATCTAAATTTGTGTTAAATTGGAGTATAAAAGTATTATCATGTTAGACTAGGCACAATTACTGATCATCTATGGCATCTGATTAAATCTTAGCATATGAAATACTTCAATTTCACATATAAAAACCCAGGCAACTATTTTTAAAGCTATTTAGTGAGAAAAGAAGGGTCTTATATGCCATCAAATATGGTATGTTGTCTGAAATTTTTAAATGAAGCTGTTGCATTTTTACCATGATTACCATATATACTCATGTATAAGCCGACTTCATGTATAGTGCTACACCTGAATTATTTTTGTATGAATTTTAATCCCTCCAGAAAAGAATGACCTGTTCAAAACAGTCACTAAAAATGCATGATTTTTAACTTCTTAAAAAAAAAATTTAACTATGTGCATAAAAAACTGATCATAAAAACTTAGACTATACCCACAAGTATCTATGGTATTTGTGTATAATAAATATCATTTATATGTGCCCCTAAATTTGGACTATAAAATTCTGGTAAAAAAAAAAAATTCTCTTATATATAATATGCACTGACTTTTTAAAATTTATAGCAGCTAAATTTAATACTTGTGAAACATTTCATCTGATTCTTATAGAATTGAAATGTGAATTTATATAGTTGACATTATGTTTTGAAACACAGAATTTTTAGAAAATTCAGAGAAATGTTCACACAAAACTGCAATAAGCTTTCAGTGAAAATAAACTCAAATTAGGAGAAAAAAATTCTAAACAAACACACATTCCAGGGTATTTTGAAGAAACATGAGATTATTGTCTGGGTGACAATGACATCAAAGATTACAAAAACATCTGCTATGCTGCTTATATGAATGAAACTGCCATGGGGGTGTGTGTAGGTGATGTAATGGACAGCAGCTTGGAATTAGGAATCAGAGTTGAATTCAAATTCCAGTCTGGTTTATTACATTTGCTTATGTGTAGATACCTTTTGGGAAAGGTATGAATTCATCTCCTACTCTCAGCTATGGGTTAAATAGTAGGATTTGTATCAGGAGAAATCATTGTTATTCTCAAGAAAATTGTTAATGTGGTATTCACTAACAAAAAAAATGAATTATTCTTACAATATGTTGTGATGTTAAATAACCCAGAAAGGGTTGATAATGCTTAAAAAAAGAAATCAATCAAATCAGCTATCTTTGACATAGACAACAGTGAAGTAGATTAAAGTATGTTTTTATTTATATATATATATATATATATATATATTATATATATCTTATAAGAAATTATACTAGTCTGGAAAACCTTTGGTGTCTTGATTTGCAAATAATCAAACCAATACCAAAGGGAAAAAAAGGTATAAAAAAAGAAAAAACATTTATGTCAGCTGAAAATAATTGTCTAGCATCCAAGTGCAAAAAAAAAAAAAAAAACGATATGAGTAAACTAAAGAAAGTGCTCAATACATTAAGTAGAGCAGACCTAGTTAAACCTAAAGAGCTAGACAAACCTACCAAGGTTTCACCTAAGCAGATCGTCAGGGATCTATTAATCAAGCAGTCAACTAAGATGCAAAAAAATCTTTGTGAATAATTAATAAAACAAATGCAGTGTTTTCTTAGTGGTTTAAGTTCCATTATACATTAGTTATTTTTGAACATGGATATAACTTACTTTCAATCAAACCATCTTGAATATGACATTTTGTATGGGTTGAAAAAAGTTAATATTTAACTTTCATGCATCATATGCTTTTTTGTATAAAAATCTGGAGGGTAAAAGTGTGTATTATATAAAATTAAAAACAAAAGTAGAAGTTTACAATTATAAAAATGTGTGTATTATATATAAATATGGTATTTTGTTTCTCTTTCAGCTTACACTCTTTAATAACAATATATACATTTTCAGTCATTGTAATATAATATATAAAATATTTCACTCATGGAATAATTGATATATTCACCAGCTTTGATTTGCTGAGTGAAAATTCTCTTGTTGAAAAGACAATTCAACTTGGTATTTAAATGTACTTGCTGGAGAAGCAAAACATGCAAAATTGTTCAACCTTCATGCATAAATAGGCTGATTATTACATACGGTGTGGGGGTGGTGTAATGGCTAGCAACTTGGAACGAGAATTTGGGAGACAAGTTTGAATTCCAATCTAGTTTCATTACATTCATTTTCACACAAATACTCTTGGGAAATGTATGAATCCATCTCTTCTTTTCCCAGCTATGGATTAAATTGTAAGGTAGACTCAGCTTTTCAGCCTTGATTGGGAACCAGTCTAGGAGAAGGACATCTTTGAATTCAAAACCGTATCTATCTCTGTTGAAGCACATAATATGCAACTAAAGAAAGGATTGTGGGGTTTACGATGAGTCTATGATCCCAACTGTGGTCATTTAATTGATCAATCAATCAATATAAAATGATATTAATAAAACTCATTGATAATATAGAAATGAATGATATATTCAAGGTGAATTCTATTATGTTCATCTACTGCTTCAACACAGTCTTGAAAAGCTGCACATTTCTTAACCACAAAATCCTTGGATACCTTGTCCTACTCTTCATTAATAGCAGCTTTGAGAATATTGATATTGGGGCAGAAGGTTTTGCTACTGAACTGTTCTAAAATGCCACTCCTGGTGTAGTTTAGTAGATCAAGGTCTTAACTGAAGGACGGCCAGAAATTAACAAAGTAATCTTTGCAGAATTCATACATCTTGGGTGTGTGGTTGGGAATACCAAAATGGATCCACACAGAGCAGACCTCTAGAGAGTTGACCTTAAGTCATGGCAAAATATGGTACCTCAAGACCTTGTAGTAGACATCAGTACTCACCTTTTCTCCAAGCTTATAGAAGAATGGAGGGGCCTCATGGTTTTTTGTGTGCAAATCATCACATCCCAAATTAAAACCAGGACTGAATGTTTGGTCTTGAAACTGCTGACTCCATGTAGTACCTGTTGTTTTTTTTTGTTTTGTTTTGTTTTTTTCAGTCGATGCTGTTTTGGAATCCACTGTAAAGATTTTCTTTTAGAGAATATTTTAACAGTAGACCCATGATTCTTGAGGTACTGAACACTTTCTCTTGTCCCTTTCCAGACTTCATGAGGAGGTGTCAGCATCCTCGTATATGATTCAAGGCCCACCTTTCACGGCCGACTCAGGATTTACTTTTAGCTCAGTAGTTATCTTACACATTGATGCATATTGGTCTTGAGGACATTAATGAAGCTAATCCCATCATTGCTCAGTTTACTTTCAGTCACTCAAAATCACTTCTGAGGAATTTTCTCTCTTGCATGATTACTTTATAAGCCCTATCTGTCATAACTATAAGTTGTGTTCTTTATCACAAAACTCTAGTGCATTAGCAGAGTTTTGGGAACACCAGTTCTTGAAAATACAACTCTTAACATGTGTTCTACCATAGAACTTCTTTTGTCTGACAGATAAATAATGACTCCGGAAAAAGAATCTACTAACATTAAGAAAAGTTTCCTTCCATTGACGTACATGTAATCTATGTGAACTCTATGCCATGGCTTTAACTCTTGAGGTTATAAATGTAATTTACTTTATGTAAAATTTCTTATTTCCTTACATTTGAGACATATTTTTACATAAGATATTTTGTTCATTGTGTCGTGCTAGACAATTTTTTTTGCCAAAATGTCTTAGACATTTATAAGTCAACCATTCATCCATGCTTTAAATATTGCTGCTACATCTGGTTTAGTGCTTCATAAAATTCCAAGAAGAATCTGCAATTTTATTGGTCCTGACCTGGCATCTTGGCTTCAATCACTTTCCCACTTCTGTAACATAGCTTCCCTGTGCCTTTTCTATAAATAATTTTATGGTAATTGTTCTGATGGACTTTCCTCTATGGAACTTAATCTTTATGAATTTAAGCGTAATACTAGATTGGCGGAATGGTCTCATCATTTTACAGTTGAAATAGCTAAATGTAACTGTAAATTCTATGCTAATAGTTTCTTCTATTACATTTCTCACATGTGGAACTCTCTTCTTGCTTACCAGTCAGGTTTGATCTTCAAAAATTTAAATGCAATGTCAATTGTTATCTTCTGCCAACTTGTTTTTTTTCTTTTTTCTCTCTCCATAAAAGTGTTGTTTTTTTTGTTTGTTTTTTTTTGTCATATTCTCTAATACTGAGTAACCCCTTGCATCTTACCAGCTTTATTGCCTTGCTTGGGGTGAAATGTTTAAAAAACATATTCTTCTACATCCCTTGAATATCTCAGCCACCATGCTTCAAACTTTAACCTTTTTGTGTTGCCATAAAAATGAAAAAAATGTCTGTGAGCTCATTTTCTCTCCCTTTTAGCTTTGTTGTCTTTCAATTTATTGGTTCTATTGGTTGTATCAAGACAACTGAACCATGTATCCCCAAAATTAGGGTCCTCTTGAACTAATGAGCATCCTGTTGGTGATGTGTAATAGTAGTCATGATGTGTCATAAATCACTTGCAATCACTACTAACAAATTCGCTCTATCTTGTGACCACTTGGTTTATATAGAGTGTCTTATGCCCATATGCAAATGATCACACTCTTAGATATCATTACAGAAAGTCATGATATTTTGTCATTTGTCCTTTTGTGAAGCTATTTTCCTTGATATTTTCTAAAAATAGGCATATAGCTGATAATATACTCTTTGTTTTGCATTTGGTTGACATTTAATGTAGTGTTGTTTGGGTAATTTCACTGCAAGTTTTGCTTCCCCACTCTGTAACTACTTGCGTTTCTCCAATAACAACAAAATGCTGAAAATATAGTAATTGTTCTGCTTTAAAGTTTACATTTAAGTTCTTAAATATAGGCCAGACTCATTAACTTCAAATGAAGCTATTGGTGATCAGAACAGAGAAAAAAATTAGGATAGTATCTTTTTAATCACTTACACATTAAATATCCAATTGGATTGACTAGATTGGGCTATTCTTGACAGCGCAATGCTACTAAATTTTGAATTTCACTATTTGCAATTTTGGAGGCTGCTTCTACACTCCCTACTAATTGCTTGATTAAAGCGCCAGCAATTTTTTTTTTCTGGTACTCCTTTGCAGGAGAGTTTCATGATCATATTGGCTGCCTCTGGTTGGTTGTTTCTCAAACTCTTTCATGTGTGGAGGATACATCATCAGCATTATCTGCTGCTGAACTTGGACTCAGGGCAGGGTTGGGGGGTAGGGCTATGATTGTGGGCTAACCATCCTGGTAACTTTTCCTTTTAAGAATTTGGAGGTGCATTTGTTTTGTGGCATTTTCATCCAAACTACATCTCCCTGTCTTACATGACCTGTGTTCCACCTTAAGTGGTGTTAGTGGAAGCAATGCATTGGTACCTTTCAGCTAAAAGTTGTAGGTGTGTATTCCTTTGGTAGGTACAGTTGTGTTGAGGTTGCTTTGCACCAATACAGAGCTTCCTGGATGGAACACTGTTTCTTCATAGTAATGTCTTTCACACTTAAGTGATATCTTTCTGCTATCCCATTTCCTGATAGGGAATACTGAACATATTCCCCATTCCTTCAAGAAATTGTTGAAGTTTCTACTGCAGAATGATGTCTTGTCTGTTTTGCATATTTACTCAGAGGGTTGAGATGTATGCATATAGAATTAAATATAACCTTCAAACACACACAAAGGTTATACATTTGTACAAACACACTAATGCAACAAATTCTGTCTCATGAAATTGATTTGGTTATAAGCAAAGAATTTATAACAAAAAAAAAAAAAATTGCTGGAAAATGTAATGTAATTTTATGGAGTAGAAAAGGTAGGTAATTCTTACATATTTTTCTTACAAAGTCAAACACTCTTTCTGTTTCATTAAATCTTTTCATTATACCTTGGAATATGATAATTTTGTACATAATCAATTTCAGTGATATATTTTCATCCATTAAGTAAAATCTATAAAAAAAATGAGTTACTCTGATTCAGCTCGATTTGAAACATGTATAATTAATTGTGAGAACATTTTTAGAAGTAATATCCAATAGTTTTCAAATTCCATTTTTTTTTCATTAGTTGTATCATTTAAATGACAAAAAACTACTTTTCATGAAATTTGCTCTATATTGATAATTCATCTTCAAAAAAGTTAATATTTGAATTTTTTTCTCTTTCCTTCTTCCTAGATATTAAAGATAGGAAAAATTCTGAATATTATTATTATTATTATTATTATTATATTACTTTATTTTTTATTTGTTATCAATTGTAGATACTTGTTTGGATTGCAAATAATCATTGATTTTTTTTTTCCTTAGATTTGGAAGCATTACAGATGTTATCTCCCTTTGATTTTATCGTCACTAACCCACCCTATATCTCAAATGGTGAAATGGAATCCTTACAACCAGAAGTGATCAGGCAAGTGATTATTTGATATTCTGTATTCTCCATCATAAATCAGATTTTACTTATCAAAATACCGACGACTCTTCTCTTTATTTAGGTATGAAGATCACAGAGCTTTGTTTGGTGGGAAAGATGGATTGGATATAATCAAAGCCATCCTCAAAACAGTGAATTATTTGATACCTGTTCATAGGTAAGTACTTAATGTAAATGTTAAATATTATTACCTCAACTTCCAGACTTCAAAGTAAACAAAAACAAGTTAACTACTTTAAAAATAAGTGTAAATTTCACTTAAGGTTAGGAATTAATAAAATACTTTTAAAAAAATCACATGTATTGTCATAAGAATTGTATTAATTGCAGAAAAAAGATTGAAGAACAGTTTTTTTTAGGGTGGGGAGGGGTAGGCTTTTTGGTTGGGCCAAGAACTTTTTTGGTACCCACTCATAAATATGATTCAGTCAATTTTGATTTAGACTTGGTCATATTTATAATACCAGGTATTGCATATATATTTACCCATTATGCATTTTATCATAAAATAAAAAGTTTTAGGTTTTGGTTAATTAAATTTTACAGGCTGATTGTTATATTTATTGACAGTATTTTATATATATTTATAATTCAAAATGACCACCCTTTGCTTTTCACTATAGACGTTAATCACTTCTCAACTGAATTACATTACTTCTTCACAACCTCTTCATTCTCCAATATGGGCCATATTGCAAAGTACATTGGATTATTGTCAGAGCTTGATGGAGGTCAAATTGAGTTGTTAAAAAATCCATGGAAATGACTCTTGCATCAGTCCTTTGTGAAATTGGCTGTGTGCTACACTCTGCTATTCATTTTCACTCTTTTTTCAATGAATATCAAAGGTGATTTTAAACCATCAGAAGTAACAGCAGCCAAAACTCTGACAATAGTTAGTTTCTGCTGTTTGAAATGTTTTCTGACACCTTCGGCAATGTTTTCTGGTGAAGTGGTATAAACCCTATCATTTTGGTGGTTGACCACAACCTCCACAGTAAAAAAACTTCTTGTCCAGCCAAACAAAAACTTTGTGGAATGCTGCATTTTCTCTAACATTTTCTTTCCTTTGTCAACAAAGTTTTAGTTGGAGGCACTTGAGAGCAACTGTCATTGTTGACTCTTGTATAGTTTTAGCCTTAATTCCTCCTTAGTGATCTGTCCAAAATATCCAACTCTTTTGCCATCTAACTCCTGCTTTTTTGTGGATTTCTCTTCAACTTCTTCTGGACGGCATCAATGACTCTTCTGGTATGAAAAGAATGATTTCCTGAAATTGGATTTGGTGAGATTTTTTTCATCTCTTGAAACTTTTTCTATGCATTAAAAATGTTATTTCTGCAAATATCCAACTGTTTTATCACCTCATAATTCTTCATACCAGTCATTTTCAATGCAACAAATTGATCATGTTTTGTTTGAGTCACAGTATTTAATTAAACTGTAAACAATAAACCAAAACAATGTTAGAAAGCCTTATGCAAAATTTGAAACTATTTTTATGAATCAGTATGTTTCAATTTATGTTTAAATGATAGATAAATATTTATGCTGTAATTGGTATTTGATAGGTTGAAACTGAATTCATGAGGTATTTTCTGAATTTGTAAAATAACTGATCAGAAAAATTTCCACTATATTCGAGTATATATGGTAAAAAATCATTGCTGTCAGTATTTTTAAAACTAATTTTTTTCTATTTAAATTATAAATTGGGCATAATTTTACCAAAAAAGGTAATCCGCATGCCATGCTGTAGCTTTTTGTGTTGATATAAAAATATTTTAATAGTAAAGTGGACAAAATTTATAGGAAAAAAGTTAAAGGAAAAAAATCATGACCTCATTTTTTTGATTTTAATCAAGTTCTTTTAAAGAAATAATTGGTCTTCAAATGAAACTTAAATTTTAATAGATTGCTGCCACCTTCAAGCATTGGAGAAAAATCATAAAAGAAAACATGCTGTCTTCTGATTAAAGCAGAAAAAATGTTTTAGCCATCCAATATTATGCTTTTAATGTTAACCCAACTAAAATATTGGGTTGGAGAATAAGGTGTGAACGTTTTTCAAAATGTTTTATTGTCATGGTCTTACAATGTCAAATTATATAAAATTAGTCAACAAGATAATCTACATTGCTGTTGATAACTTTTTCCCATTGATCACAAAGTTTTTCTATTCCTTGATGATAAAAATCTTCTGGTTTTGAGCTGAAAAATTTGTCCAACCAAACCCTCAATTCAACATTATTATTGAACATTACACCACGTAAAGCATTGAGATAGGATCAAAAAAGATAAAAATCTGATGGTGCCAAGTCTGGTGAGTACAGAGAATGAGGCAACACTTTCCATTCAAATTCTTGAATAATGGTTTTGGTCATATTGGTGATGTGAGGATGGGCGTAGTTGCGTTAAAGAAGAACACTTTGTCGTTGATTCGGTCTTTTTTTGCTGAATTGTTTCATGGAGATGGTGCAGTTGTTGAATGTAGATCTCTGCATTTACCATTTGGTTTTGCTCAAGCAATTCATAATAAATTATGCCTTCCCAATCCCACAATACACATAACATGGTCTTTCGAGGATGAAGGTCTTGTTTTGCTCGAGATATCGCTTTCGATTTCCTTTTTTGAAGTGCGAGAACCAATGTCTGGGTGGTACCTTGAAGCATTGTGCCATCTCCATACACATCACAAACCTCATGAGCTGCTTTGGAGGTGTCACCTCCTCGATTATATGCTAAAAGCTAAAGGTGTTGAAAATGAGCAGTTTTGTTTGCTTGACATTCCATTTTAGGGATTTGAAATAGAACCAAAAAAGTAATGAAATTAACAAAAATCATACATATATGTAAATGTTAGAACATCAATAAAAAAAATTATTGTTCTAAAATATTCACCAAATGTTTGGCTTCCCAAAGATTTTTTACTCTCAAAAAATGCTCAGGACTTATTCCCCAACTCAAGTAAAGTTGCAGAAAACTTTGATTCTAATTCATAATTGCCCTAAACATATGAAACAAATAAGATACAAATTTCATAAAATTATCACCTCAGATTTTTTTTTCTCTTTTCAAAAAATGTTTGAATTAAGATAAGTGTGTTTTGCTTTTTCATGTTTCTCTTTTATTAATTTAGTTCCATTTGGCTGGAGGTTAGTGTGGATCATGTGTTAGAACTTTATAAGTGGGTCACCAATTCACCAGAGTTATGTCTCAGGATGGTCAATATATATCCTGATCATACAGGAAGGTAGGTCTTTAAATATTTGGAAGATGTGCTTAAAACTATTTTTTCATTTTTATCATAAATATGATTTTAAATATTTAAATTTTGATTTATGGAAACAGTCTTTTAGAATATACACATTTAAAACCTTATCTGATTTTTAGTGCTGTAATAAAATAAATTTGTTGAAAAAAAGTTGCTGTTTTCAGGCTTTAATATAGGCCTTTACTTGATAAAGTTTTGAAAATGATAAATTAAAATTTTTCATATAGAAAGGAAATAACAGTAAGTGCACTTTACTTAACACTATGTCTGATGACTCATTGAAAATGTCCTTAGATTTTGTTTCAAATTGTAACTTTGGGGGAACAAATTTAGTTCCAGTGATGACTTGGACTTACCAGTGGTAGCAGATTAAGCACATGTACTTTTGTTGGCAATACATGCTGTTATGTTTTTCATGTATTTGCATTTGTTAGCAGTTTTATAGCATTTGGTTTCCAAAGATATAATTCAAATCAGATATTCCTCAGTAAAAAATTTATGGCATTTGGTTTCCAAGGAAATAACCCAAATCAGATATTCCTGAGTAAAAATGCTTCTAGCTTACACTCTGAGCATAATTCTACCATAATATATATGGAGGTGGGGGTTAACTTGTTTAGATAACCCACAAATTGAATTTAAATTTGAGTTCAAACTGGTCAAATTTAAAAATAAATTCTATCTGGAAAGAATTTAAAAAAAAATCATTAAGTCAGTATTTAAGAGAATGTAAGCAAGTTGTCAATTAAAAAAAGACTTTCACTTCATTCTTTTCCGATACACTTACACTGAAATTTATCTCTATGAAAAATAAACACAAATTTTGTCAATCATAAGATTACCAGTGTTAGACAATTGGAAACATGCTTTAATAGTATAGAATTTCTTTTTTTTGCAATTTTATCGTTTATTTTTGGAGAAATTTACAAGTGAGAGGAATCTAATAAATTTATTTAACATGGCATCAGATTGAAAAAAAAAAACAAAACAAAAAACATATTTTGCAATATGCTTATAGGTTTCATTGTGTTTAATTTCAAGCTTATTGTAGTATTGTATGCAAATTAGATAGATAAGTATAAATAGAGAACAACTGGTGAACATAGCGTGGCTATGCATAAGAAACACAATTGCTATTCAGGACACAGAGAACTGTACTACAACTACTACTACACAGAGAGATATGCAAAATATAACACTTATTTTATGCAGTAAATATTAGCAGATTTCATTCTTTTATTCCTTTGTTTTGATATTTTTAATGTGTTTATTTGGGTTGATATCATTTTTTTTTATAATAATTTTTTTACAAATTTTCTATTCATCTTTAAAACAAAAAATTATACAGAAAAAGGAATTACAGTAATATTTCTTTACAAATTTTCTGTTCATTTAAAAAAAAAAAAGAATTATACAGAAACATAATTACAGTAGTATTTTTTATCAGAGACTTTTGTATTAACATTTAGTAAATTACTTTATAATGATTTTCATCATTTTTGTTGATTTTCCCAAAATTCTTGTTGATGGCCTATTTCTGCTTAAAAGTCTGTGGACTGTGACCGATTGTTGTATTTTCTGCTGTCTCATATATGAGTTTTGCTCACTTTATTAAATGTTGCCAACAAAGAAAAGAAAAAATACAGGTGGAGTTATAATCAGATAGAGAACAAGAACAGTTCAGCACAAAATTTCAAATGAAGGAGGCCAGAAAATAACTGAAAAACTGTATAAAAAGCAATATAGAAAAGGAAAATAATCCAAAAATGAACATAAACTAGTAATGACTTTTAGAATGAAAAGTGAACTCAACAGTTGTGGCCTTCACTTTAAAAATTTAATTAAATAAAACAAAAAGAAAACAAATCATTTGGCATAATTATTATTGATTAGAAGAAAAAAGTGAAAGAAAAAAACAATTAAATCCATTGCTTCACTGAAGTTGATTTCTTTAGTAATTTGTTTCAAATAATTTCAAAAAAGAAAATCAACTCTTGGCAGATGAAGCATCAATATTTGTCATATGTTTTAATGAGAGTAAAAACCATGATAAGTGATCTACAAATCAATCTCTGTATTTAGTTAAAGTGCTGTGAGCTCTTCCCCATCCATAAAGCTTCCTGAACTGCATTTATTCACTTTGAGGAAGAGTTTGCTGTCGTCACAAGAGCAATAATTTAGGATGGAAATTATTTTGATTGTTTCCCTTCCTTTATGACATCATTTGATTGCATAAAAGGTAAACTAAATTGCATAAAATACATTTTGGGCCATTTGAATGTTTAGTTGATTAATTCTTTTCATTTGATTTGAATTGACAACTAAAATAACAACCAAGATGAAAATATTGGTGTCTGTGAATTCATGATATATGAATGTCATTGATATTAGATGTGTGTTTTTGTTTTTCTTGTAGGGACAGATTTTGCCATTTTATTCGAGTGAAAAAGGGCAACTTTTGGAGTCCAAGCTGCTAAATACTAGAGGTTTTTTAATTTATTTTTGTCTTTTTTTTTTTTTTTTGAAATTCCCATTCCATCTTAGTTCTTATTTTCTACACACTGCTGTGATTAATACCTTTTTCCCAGTGATGTTATTTAGTCTCTGGGGAATCACCATTGTTCTGGATGGGGACATTTGAGCTGAGGGTATTAACTGAGGTGCTTTTCATTGCAAAGACCCAAAAGCTAAAATTTAATGTCATAAACTATTACTACTTAGATTTTAATGTTGGTTGTGTCAGGACAAAAACTGAAACTAAAAATGTAAAAGAGGAGAATTAATGATGTACTGTGATGGCAAACTTAAGAATTTTCATGTATCAAAACCTTTATTAGCTGCTCGGCCCAGACGAAGCTTTGCCGAAGGGCAAGGTTTCGTTCGGGGAGGTAGACAGGGCCTGAATCCGTCTAGGCGGGTTAAAAAAGGCTATATTTTTGGCCGAGCCTACGGGCTCGGGGATACCCACATTAAACCGGCCTTGTGCCACATTCTATCCTCGTGGGTGGATTGATAAATACTAAACCTTTATTAGACAATTTTAAGATGTTTGGGTTATACATTGGCTTTTAAAAACTTTTTATGTGATAAACAGCAACTTGTTGATTTTATATATATTTTTTGTGTTACTTCACACCATTTGTCAGAAAACTGTAAGTAGAAGTGATTTTCAATGTTTATCTACGTGGATGAAATAAATAGAATTAAATAAAATAAAATAGAATTAAATAAAATAAAAGATATGGAGAAAGATAGAAAGCAAAGATAATACAAAATATAAAGAGATGAATGTAGTAATATGTAAATGACTGCCTAATTAGCATAGGTAAGGCATAGAGACTATATAAGTGCCCAAGCAGTAAAAGGATGGGCAGAATATGATATACAACATTAATGACACCTGCTAGACTGAGAAAATACAAAGGAAATCACATTTTATAACAATGAGAAAATGAAAAGATCAAGGAATGATTTGGTCAATGACTTGGAGTAAATTTTAATTAAATGTATTAATCTATCTATACATATATAAATGCAGTTTATTTAAATAAAGTAAATAAACTTAAATTAAGATATATTTAAACATATCTAATTTAATCATTTTTTAAAGCAAAAAAACTATAGTGAGCCTTACTTTTTCAAAAAATAATTATTTACTATTTATTTTGGAAGGGATTATTATTAATACAAAAAGTAAGTAAACTTAAATTATGATATATTTAAACATTGCACCCTAAGCAACCCCACCAGAGCATGGTATTGGTAGCGTGGTATTTCTTAAATTTAGTTATTTTGTAACAAAAAAAAAAACAATGAAGTTTATTTTTTAAAGATTGAATAAACAATTATTTCCCATAAGATGGCTGAAAAATATAAATAAATTGTCAATGATAAATGATTATTCAGAGATCTGAGCAATGCCAGGTATCCCTGCTAGTTTAGTATAAAAATAAGAACAGATATTTGAAATGGTAAATTTTGAAATATCTGATTTTTATTGACTTTTGTGTATATAAGTCATAGAGTGCTGACACAGGGTTTTGATGGTCAGTTCTAACTTATGACTTTAACTGATTATTTAAATAGACACTTTTACTCACAAACAAATGCTTTCATATGTCTGTGTGTTCATTTCATTTTTCTGCCTGCTTTTATAAGGGAGATAACTATTATGATGACATTTTCTGAATCTTGTGTAAGTTCAAATATACATAATTTTTTTAAGACAGAAACAGAAACTCAGAATATAAACGGTAAAAAGATAAAAAAAAAATTGAATGAAAAAGCAATGAGTTATTAAGTAATTAAGTTATATAAATTTAACCTTTTAGTGAAAACTCACTGAAACGTTTTGTAGCCTCTACTCAATGTTAAGTCACTTCCTATGTTAATTATCACTAAGCTTAATTATTTTTAATTTATTAATTGCAGATGATGGGAATTTCTATCTTAACAGACTTATAGCCTAACTACAAAGACAAAATCTTCTGCTGCAGTTAATGACTTCAAGAAGCATCACTGACAAGCTACTATGGTAGACAAAGGTGTAGGGATCCTTCCCTGCTTATTCCACTGATTGTAAAAAAAATCTATGGGGAAACAACTCTGTAATTAATAATAATACTAATAATACATATTAATAATTAATACATATGCGGGTTTATATCCTTTGTGGAGCTTTTTTTTTTTTTTTTTTTTTTTTTACAATTTAGATTTACTTAAAAATTCAGAAACCAGTGATCCAGCTGGATTGGAAATAGTTTTATTTATAGCTCATTTATGTTACAATTACATATCAAAAATTGTTGCTAGCATAACAAACTTGTTAATTATCACATATCTTTAATTATTTTTACATTAAAATGTTTTAAATTGTCCTGTATTAAAAGAAACAAAAAGGATTAAAATCAAGTGATAGAATTATTTACTGGGTGAATAACCAAAGTTATGTCTTGTTAAATGTTGGAGACAACAAATATGGACAAAACCTTTTTAGAATATTAAAAAGAACAAAAATTCAAATTGCACACACCCCACCCCTAATAAATTTATTGCTTTTTTTCATTGTTTTTTTTAAGGAAAATGTATTATTTTATTGGAATACACTGCCTGAACATGTAAAAAGTGTAGCAAATGCGTACAGCTTTCAAAGGAATCTTGATAGATCCTGTGGGAGTACTATGTAAAGTAGACTGTGTGGACAATATTGGGAGCTATCAGCTGTTTCAAAAGAATTTAAAAACAGAAACTGGACATCATAATGAGATTTTTTTAAGGCGTAAAAGATTTCTTTATGGGGATTTTAAGTTATTTTGGAAGAGCAAATTAAGAAATAATTCCTTTTTAAGCATTTTTATGTAAATGGTTTTTCTAACAATTGTTGTATATTTGATGTTTTTTCAAAATGGTTCTGTGTATAAGAATTTTTTAAATATGGTATTAGTATATAAATAAGCAACAGTATTATTCTATGGTAGATAGTATATTTAGAAATTTACTCAGCCTGGCTTAATTTCAATGAGAATTAGACCCACCGGAAGACAAGTCTGGTAACCATTTTGCTGCAGCGAGTATCTCAACAAATATCTACTAAGCTTAAGTTAGTCTGGCACAAGGTCACAATACTCAAGCGATGAGGAGTAAACTCACTATACTAGCTTACAGTCTGCCAGAGATGAGCTTGTTAATTCTATATATGATACAACATATTTTGATAGTGCATCAAAAAATATCTGTTAAATAGCAAAACAGACAAGGTTCATTAACCTTAGTTGGGAACCAGTCTAGGAGAAGGACAACTCTGAATTCAAAACCTGAGATCTGTTTGGAGATCTTGTGGTATACTGTGCACCAGTTCTCTGCTATCAGTTCTTCTGAAAAGTGTGATTGTTTCTGCACAAGCCTTCACCACAAAAATCAAATCATATGTCCAAGCCAAAGTACAGAACCAAAAACTTGGATCCCATAAATTCTTGAAAATTGTAAATGCAGTACCCAATAGAAGCAAACTGTCAGTTCTATCCAATATAAATGGCTTTGAGGTAATCTCATCCTTGTTGAATAAGGCTTAGCTCTTTGCTATGAAATTTACCTTTAACTATAGGTTAGATGATAAACACCCTTACCTGACTTCTCCCACCTCACAGAGCATATGCTTTGTGATATCTAGGTATCAGCTTGGAAAGTTTTCAGGCATCATAAACCTTGACTCTATAAAGGCAACTGATTCAGATAAAATTCGTTATTTTCACGAACATTGACCCAGAAATGTCTCCAATCTTGGTGAAGCTGTTTAACAGCTGCCTTAAGAAGAAATGTTTCCCAAGCACATGGTAGGTGTTTAATGTGTCCTGTGTACAAGAATACAGGTGAGTCCTTGTCCCCATCACAATATTACACTATCCATTTCAAAAGTGTCATTTTCAAACTCTTTGAATCTATAATAAACAAGAAAGTTGTTGAACACCCCCAACAAAAACAAACTCCTAAGAGACAATCAATATGGTTTTTACTCTTCCAGGTCTATACTGATGTCCTGTTATCATCCACATAGAATCAGTGAAGTGCTTGATAATAAAAATATCATTAGAATGATTACCCTAGATATCTTGGAGGGCTTTATCAAGGTGTGGCACAGGAGATTGCTACACAAACTGGCCAACTATGGAACCTCTGGGAGAGTTCTCTAGTTTATCAAGTCTTTCCTGTTGGAAGGTCATCATTAATGACCAGTCCTCTGAAACCTGAAATTAATGCCAGTGTCATTCAAGGCTTTCTCCTCAGTACTACCATTTTTGCTTTTTACTTTATATTAACAATCTGTACAAGAACACTCACAGATTCTTAGTAAATGTATATGCAATTGATACCACAGTTTATGAGTGCACCTTCAAATATCTTGATGAACATTGCCTGGAAGGGGATCTCTGCTTTGGCTTAACTCTCACAGGTCAATGGTGGGGAAAGACTGACTGCTATCATTCAGTACATCCAAAACTAAACTAGTATCATTTCATCACCACAAAGCAGACCCTAAACCTGTACCAATCTTGATGAGTGATCATACCCTCAAAGAGGCCCCTTGCTTTGAACACCTACTGAGTTTAAATCTCACTCTTGACCTCAAGTGGAACACATGTATTCATGCCATTGCAAAAGATACTGGAAGAATGGTTTGGTACTTGTATTGCATCTGAAAATACCTAATTCCTGCTGCCATGCTCAAACTTTATAAGAGCCAGATCAGACCAAGAATGGAGTTTTGGTGCCATATTTGGACTGGTGCTGTACAATCTTCACTCTCCAGCCTTGACAAAGTTCAAAAGTGATTATCTGGTCTTGTGAGTGATGAATTATCCTACAGGTAAAAACATTGCTAGCCTATTACTACTCTATCACAGTTACTATGGTAGATGTTCAGATGGGTTACATTCTTTAGACCCACTAGCTATAACACACTATCATGTTCACAATGGCAAATCATCCCCATTCCCTTTGTGTTCCTTTGATAAGGAGAAAGTTTCACTCAAACAGCTTCTTCCCCGTTGTTCTTTAAGATCAATTGGTGTCTGTTCAATACATCTTCATAATATGCATTTATTACTTACTCCTTTCATATCCCTTACAATCTCACTCAGTAACCCTTTACCTTGAGTGACCCTTGGGCCTTGTATTAGGTGAACTAACAGCAAATAAAAAATGTGTAGGTATTCTTGCAGTTCAATTTTAAGAAATTAATTTGTTAGGTCCTCATATGTCATAATTGAGGAGAGAATCCTAACATATCTAATTATTAGTAGTAGAGTAAAATAAATCATATATATATATATATATATATATATATATATAGTGAGAGAGAGAGAGAGAGACTTGAATTCAGTCTTCCTTAAAGACAAATTATCATATCAGAAGAAATCATCACTTGTAAAATACAGAAATAATTTTTCAGAATAAAATGTCAAAAATATCCAAATCTGAGAGAACATATTTCCCTAATTCAAAGAATATATTTAGGTTTTGGTGGCAACATACAAAATTACAAAGGAAGATGGATCTGAAATTGTTGACAAAAGGTTAATAATCATTCAGAAATTTTGTCAATGAATATAAAAGATACAAGTGGAAAATTGTTAAATTGTTACTACATTTTTTTTGAGAGAGATGAGACAAAATAGTATGTTATTTGTATTTGTAAACAGCAAATTTTATGTCATAAAGAAACAACTTATCTGGTTTCTACATTATCATGTATTTTCACCTTGTTTACAGGTGAAAAAAATATGATAAAGAATTTATAGATTTTAATTATATGAATATATACTTTATTTTGTCTATAATAACCAAAGTCTGAATTACCATTTTTTATTAAAATTGGTATTAATAAAATTTGATAAATCATTTTCTTAAGTTTTATTGTAAAAACAAACTTTTCAACAGTTTGAGAAGAGTAATAAAAATGTATTGATTTATATTTTCTATTTTAAAGAAAATACCAAGTTAATTTGTCTTTCAGATGAAGTGAAACAAATTTAAACAAACTGTATCATTTTTATATATTAACTGCATACACACACACACACAATATATTTTAAGAGCTTATAAATTTCTGTCACTGTTTTTTCTTCAAAGGAAGGAAGAAAATGAATATCTATTTTATACACATTTTTTTAAAATGATACCCGGTACTAAAAGTTCTAACAATTTTCTGTTAGTTTTTTTATATTTACACATTGAATAAAATATCCATAATGAATATGTATTTGTTTCATTTTTCTTAATTTCTCTTTCCTAAAAGAATTGCAGTAATACCATGTTTAACTAACTGATAGCAACATAATCTACTACTATATAAGAATAAATAAATTTGTATGTGCTTAGTCAAATTCACAGCAATTCTATCCATTGTTACAGATAATTCCAAACTTTGAAAATTGAGATTTCTTAAAGACTAAATTCATTTATAAGGTAAAAATGAAATATGTGATACTAACACAATTTGAGACATAAACCTCTGAAAAATAGTAATTTCCTAACTTAGTAACATTCAAAATTTTTAAAAATTTAATTATTTTTAAATTATTTTTCTGAAATGTGATAAATATTAATAGATATAAAATAGAGCAAACATGAGGCCTGACAAGTGGATATGCACGCACACAAATCTATATGCATTTATTCTTAGATAGTAGTCAACAGATATGTATGTGTGAAGTACTGAGGGAAACAAAATATTATTTGAATATTTTCAGGTCATTTATTTGGGTATGATGCAGAATCTCATCTGTACAAAAGTAAGTGAACTCTGAAGATAATATTTAAAAAAAAAAAGTCTCTTTTTTCCAGATGATCAACAAGTCTTAACTAAATCATATATTCATTAAGAAAAACATTTATTAAATCAATTACAAGCCTTTAAAAAAATTTGATATAGCTGGAATTAAAATATTAATTAAAAATTAAGATGTGCTAA